ATTTATTACAAATCATTTAGCCTATTAGCTCAGGATTATTATTACCTAGATCTTACAATTTAAATTCACCCATTTTGATTATTCTATATTTTACCATGAGGATTGTGGCTTGTTACTTCACATCTGCTTCCCTGGCAACTGCTAGCATCTCCCTCGACCTCACCTTCTTTCTCCCTGTATTCACTTTGGCTTTCCTGGATAGCTATATTCTCCCCTGCCACAGGCCAAAGCAACTTTATTCATCAACCAATAAAATAATACAAATTTGCAGCATACAGAAGGGCATCTCACATGATCTCTCCTTTTCTGTCTAATTAAGAAGGAAGGTTTTAACTTTAACATAAGATTGAATGTAGCAAAAACAGTTATCAAGCAAGGATTACAATTTCAATATTTAGTTTATTTGTATTTGATAAAATGAAAGAAACTTCTCTATCATCTATCCTATCTTTGTGAGTGTAAAGTTTTATATCCAATTTATTTTATCACAACTAAGGAAAATATAATTATCTAGTCTTTAACTCCATCAAAGACCCAAGAAGGATATAATATTATGTAAGTAAACAGGATAAGTAACTTCCAACATTTTAGAAATGACAGAAATATGGCTTCCTGGACAGTCACCCAAAGTTCTGTAATGTTGGGGCATCCATCTTCAGCCTACAGGCCCATAAGTACCTGGGAGACTTCTTAGTGAAGCAGGAAATTTGAAACTGTCCCACCTATATTAGCAGTTTGTCAGTCATTTTTTTTTCTGTGTCCTGATGAATGTCTGGCAGTTTCTTACATAAAGCAGGAACCCTGAAGGATTTTCCCGTCTTGTTTTGGCAAGTTCAGCAATGAGTTTCCTGTGTATTTTGCATGTCCAGTTTATAAAGCATACAGTCAAACAGTCCAGACAAGAGAAGTTTCTTGCCCAAATGGCTAGCCTTGTCACATTGAAAACAAATTCCATAAGCAGCTTCTTTGATGCCCATCATCCTCTTGAAGCAATTGGTGCTGCCAGGAGCAGACATGTCTCACTCTTGAGAAAAGTCTAAGTTCTTAAAACATTTTAAATTAGACATTCTGTAGATCTTTGAAGTGTTTGAAGATTACCTATTCATGTTAAATATATCTTTGCATATCTAGAAAACCTAAATAACATGACTGTAAATTTGATGATAATAGATGACCAATTATATTTCTTAACTATATATTGCATTTTTATTTATTTTTATTGAGCTCTACATTTTTCTCTGATCCTCCCGTGCCTCTCACCTCCTCACCTTTCTCCTCCCACTTTAACCCTCCCCCAAGGTCTCCATGCTCCAAATTTACTCATGAGATCTTGTCTATTTCTCCTACCCATGGAGATTAAGTCTATGTATGTCTCTCTTAGGGTCCTCATTATTGTCTAGGTTCTCTAGGATTATGAATTGTAGGCTGGTTTTCTTTGCTTTATTTAAAAAAAACACTTATGAGTGAATACATGTGATAATTGTCTTTCTTTGACTGAGTTACCTCACTTAAAATAATGTTTTCTAGCTCCATCCAATTGCCTGCAAAATTCAAGGTGTCACTATTTTTTTCTGCTGTGTAGTACTCCATTAACACATTTTACTTATCCATTCTTTGGTTGAAGGGCATTTAGGTTGTTTCCAGGTTCTGGCTATGACATTTTTAAATGAGCTATATAAACATAATACCCTAAACAACAGTAGAAATATACATATAGTATAACAAAATTGACCTTAAATTTGTATCAGTAAACCAAAATCCATACCAATGTATTTTGAGATTAATAGTTGTCTTTTGGATTAAAGTAGATATAATAATCTTCCTTTATCATTTCTATATAACATCCCCCTTTTTTCTTTAGAAATGATTGACTATGACCATTGACTATATATAACCAATCCTTCTTAAATTCAAACATACATTTATAAACTCTATTTTGGGAATTTGGGCATAGTTTTTATTCTACTCTCTGCTGATTGGGTGTGCTGATAATCTTATGGAGATTCTGAGAATATTTAAAATTTTGGTTAAATCTTGGCTTCAGCAGTCTATGAGGTTGCATTGTCTCAACCAGTTATCTTAAAACTGTTTTGGATGTTTTGTCACCTGGGCCATTGTTCCCATTGGAGACCTCTCGGGGTGTCTTGCTCAATCAAACCATATTAGCCTGGAAGGAATCCACAGGTTCTCATTTTCTGTGGAAGCATGAGCAGAACCCCTTTTCAAAAGCAACATTTCCTTTGACCCAAATTTTGAAGGCAAGATACCTTTATATTGGTTTAACTTAGCAGCCCCCACAATCAAACGTCTTTCTGTAGTTAGTTCATTGATAGTCAAAACTTAAAAAAAATAGTATATATAATTCAGACTGTCTGTGAATTTGCAACTTGATGTGGCTTTTTATTTTCTATTACTTTTTTACTGTCTCTTTAAAGGCTAGTTGATTTTTTAATACTCTATTTATTTTTATAACCATCTATACCTTTTTCTGTCTCCCCAAGCCTACATATATTTAAGCACACTGTGACCTGTTTAGAGGTGTGATTTGTTTTGTTTTGTTTTTTATTTTTGTTGTTGTTTTTCTAATTTCTTTTTTTTTCTTGTTTTTTTTTTTGTCTGAATTTGTCTTTATTGCATACTGGTAATCATTTTATGACCAGGAAAGTTTTTGGAATGTTGAGCAGGTGTGGCTGAACCAAAGCTGCAGTTTGGTTCCACCCTGTTTAACTTTTCAGCATGACTGGGGCACCCACCAGAGTCATGCTCACCTCCCTAACTCTGGAGAGCAGTACTAAGTAACCTGCAGCTGTGCTGTGCCTCAAACCCCTAGGCAGCTGCTGGGAGCCTCTTTACCTTTGTGAGAGACTGTCGTAACTGGTTATGCTACTCAGCCCATGGTATTTGGAGGCCAGCTACATCTCTTGGGCAGTTTTACCAGAGATGCATCTATGTGCTATGCCTGGCATGAGAGACTAAGAAGCCCAGTGTGGCCCTGTTCCTTTGTGCTTGGAAACTTAAAAAAAATGTTTTAGGTCTTATGTGGATTCATGCCCCATATTGGGCACCATTTGAAACTAGAGATTTCTCTTCTGCCTGCCAGTTCCCAGTAACCACGTGAGGCTTAGTTTTAATTACAAACTGTTTGACTTATTAACGCAGGCTTATTATTAACTAGCTCTTACAACTTAAATTAACCTAATTCTATCATTATATTTTTATCACAAGACTTGTTACCACACACCTTGCTTCTCAGGCAGCTGCTGGTGTCTTTCTTGACCCTGCCTTCTTTCTCCCTGTATTCAGTTTGGTTTTCCCGCCTGACTCTATTGTGCCCTGCCATAACTTAATTCACTAACTAACAAAAGCAACACATATTTGCAGTGTACAGAAGGGTATCCCACATCAACTACGATTCCTCTACATAGCCTGGCAGTCTAAGTAGTTCTGTGAATATGAGTCTTTAAAGATGCCTTAGAAACTAACTGCTCATTGCTAAGTATATAGAAGTTGGGGAGAAACACATATTAATAACAATAACCATTTTGTAAATAAATATTCATATTAGTACTTCAATATTCATATTATAGTTTGTTTTCTGAAAGGGATTGAAGATTAGCTACTTGAAATTAAACTTGGGAAGTTCTACAGATAATAAACATAAGATGCAAAAGTCCTTGCTTTTGAAATTCAATTTTTTTGAAGTTCAAAAAACAATTTCTGTAACTGGAGGTGTTCTGTAGATATTTATAAATTCATAAGTTGATATCGGACCATCTTTGCATTCAAATACATAAATTTTGAGAGAGGTTTGAACACCAGGCGAAGTGATGGCCTCATTTCTAACATTAATAACTACAAAGAAACCACCATTATCATTATGAATATTTAAATAACATTTCAATATTTATTGTAGCATTTATACCATTTTTTAACTCTAGGATGTGTAAAAGAAATCTGCAGAAAGCACTGAAGTAGAAATGTGTGGATTTTATGACTAAGGACTACTTGCAATTATTATGTATTGCATTTTTCCAGTTCCCACGTCTCCCATACTTGCCACCAATGAAAATGTTTTTGATGCTCAGATACAATTACAAGCCAATTTTTTGTTTTCCAGTTAGCTAGTTGTGGCTGTGTGCCTTGGGATTAGCTGGCATAGTTTGTTAACTCTGAAATTTTTTATTCTCTTTGGAGACCCATGGAGAGAGAATTGGAAAAGAATTAACCTGGTATTTAAAACATGAAGGTCATTTGATTTTGACTTTTCTTAAAAAGCTGTTCTCTCCGGTCTTTTATCTCATACAAATACTGCGAACATTGCTTTTTCCTTTATATATTTTACTAAATTTCTTTCTTTGGCGTTATGATAGAAGTAAATATTAAAATATTCTTTTTAAAATAAAATCAATATTAAGTTAGATTCATGCGTACAGTACTAGAGCTTTTTAATTTCCTTATGGCTCTGGTACTACTGTTGAGTACAATGTCATTTGCTCGCAGCCTTTGCCAACTTTTTCTTGGTAGTTTTTTTATTGTTAAGTATTAGGTATGTGTGCCATATTATCAGTTAGTGAAGGAGGATATAGATCATCCTGTGACTTTGAAAAATAGGAGATAGTGCAGGTGAGTTCCAGAGAGCTTAAATTTAATATTTCTCAGCTAGTGGATATTATTTGCCACTAGATGGCAGGCTGTCGCCTGCTGTAGAGTTTTTTGAGGCAGACAGGGAGGGAAAATCCTGTGGCTTCCACTATTCTGTGTCACTGTTTCTAGCGTGACTGGTAGTTCTTGATTGCAAAGGCGCATCTGTATCACTCGTGTCCGTGATTCAAGCCTTAACCTTTACGTGTCAATTGTATATTAGCCTGGAGGAGTGCAAACATACAAGATTGTAGTACCCGAACACTGACTTCCTGGGTTTGAAGAAGTGACGCTGAGATCGGTGCTTCACTGCTGAACTCTCCCACTTCAACCTCTTTTCACTCTTTCCCACTGCACAGGTGACTTGGATTATTACTGGCTGGATCCTGCGACGTGGCACAGCCGGGAAACGTCGCCTATTAGTTCGGTAAGCTCTCTTGTAGCCCATACAAGTCAAGATGCATAGGTGGTATTCATCATCTTCAGTTATGTGATCAATAATCGTCTTCCTGGATCAAGTACAGATTTTATTACACCCATATTTACTTTAGAAGGGGAACTTTAAAGGAAAGGAGTTATCTGCCTCCCAAGTGCTGAGATTAAAGGCATGCCTCACCACCACCCGGCCTCTTGAAATTATTTTGTAAGTGAAGAATACTTAAAAAATGTTCCTCAAGAAGTCTGACAATGTTTTAGGTGCCCACACTGAAATGGCTTTTCTCCATAATAATAAGACACTTCTATATACCTCGATAGTCTGTATTTAGATGTCAAGATTCAGATTGTGAGGTCAAAGTAAGATAACAGTGTTGCTTACACAGTTTATCTTATAAAAAAGTAAACAGTTAATTTGGTTGTTACAGTCACTAATTTCACTCTGTAATGCTTAGACAAATGAGAAATGAGAGTAGTCCCATGTTGAGGTCCTGCATTAGCCTGGGTGACATGACTTCACTTCTGTAGGTACAGAAGAATGGCACTGCGGTGATGAATTAGTTTGGCCTCTTCTTATTTGAGTATTTTTATAGAGCACTGAGCTTTATTGGAAAGAGTTTCATCCCCTCAGTTCACACACACACACACACACACACACACACACACACACGCACAAAGATGCACACATATCCAATGCACAAATATGCACATAAATACACCCACAGACATAACAAACACAGAGAAAAACAAGCATGTACAATGCATACAAATACAGACACAACACACAAGATTCATATCCATTGCACTGAACATGGCAGGTTTTGCTGTTAGGCCACTCAAGTGCTTAACCTAGTTTTAACTTCTGTAAAAAATATTTTTAAATGCTGGAGGAGAAATCTTTGAAACTTTTAACATCATTTGACTATAATACAAGTTCAAATAAATATTTGAAATTTAAACGTTGGGAATTCAGTCTATGCTGAGGTTGAATAGAACAAACCCCACCTTAAAAGCCAGGTTATATCTGTCATAGTTCCAATGTTGACCAATATATATCTAAAAAAGATGTAGGCTTCCTAGTGATGTTCATACTCCAGACAAATATATTTTATTTTGACTTTTCCTTTCTGTTGTGCCGAATATTAATTTTCAGTGTCATATTTTCATTCTTGCATATATTTTTTTGATTCTATTCAGACGTACATTCCTGCCTCTAACTTCCTCTACTTCCTGTATCACTTGCTTTCCATTTTTCTGAACAGTTACACATCCATGTCACCACTATTATTTTCTCTAGAGCTCTTGCATGTGAGAAAACACAAAGAAAATAATTCAATAATGACTCCATTTTATGTGGGTAAGGCTGAAATATTCCAGGTACTCCTTGAGTTACTATACAATGAGATTACATCCTACTTAACTCATTGTAAATTAAACGTGTTTTTGAATGATAGACTGCAGTGTGGCTCAGAAGTTAAGTCACTTGCCATGAAGCATGACAACCTGACTTCAATCCCTAGAACCCACATTATGAAATGAGAGAACCAAGTCTCATAAGTTGTCCTCTGAATCCATGTACATCGTGACATGTGCACTTCCTCACATTAATTAATTAAAATAATATATTCTTATTGAAATGTGCCTCATACACGTGTTCTATTTAATCCATCACTTTGTAACACAGTACAATGTAGGATGCTGATTGTTTACAAATTGCATGAATGTCTGGACCTGTCTCACTGCCGTGCCCAGAATCCTGAGAGAGGAGAGCATACATAACAGAAATGTCACAACCTGACAAAAGTTAAGATTCATATGGTATCTGCTGAATGTTAACACCTTTATACAACTGTAAAGTAAAATTAGATTGTAAGATAAACCAATATAATTCAAGAGCTATATAATATATATGAATATATCTATATATACCCATAGGTATACTATATATCCACCACATATATAGGATATATACATATACCTATGATATATATCACCACATCCATAGGTATATTATGTGTATGCTATAGGTATATATAGTATGTATATATGTGGTATACCTCTATATAGTATATACTATTTTTATATAGTATTTACTATTTTTATATAGTCACCAGTATATTATCACTATTAATAGCTCAAATGTGGTGCTCTGTGTATAGTAGAGATTATTAAAATTACACTTAGTTATATTTCAGAGTCATTTCTGATACTTTTCAGTTTCTAACTACTTTTAGAATCATTGAAAATAAACTATAGCTCTTATTGAAAAGCCTTATAAGCCCACAACAGAGCGCACCTAAAGAAAGAGATCCCAATCTAGTGTCTTTTAGTTCTCCCCCCAAAAATAACCTCATGCTACAACTGCTGATAATTTAACTACAGAAAATAAAACAAGCCATTCACTTTTTATTTTTATGTTTATTTGTATAAATCGTGCCATTATTAGTTGTTACTTTAAAAATCTTTTATTCGTTTTACATACCAACCACAATTCCCTCTCCCTCCCCACCTGCTTTCGCCCACCTCCTCCCCTCCACTCCTCTGAAAGGATAAGGCCTGCTGTGGGGTATAAACAAAGCAGGGCACATTAAATTGAGGCAGGACTAAGACCCTCTACCCTGCATCAAGGGTGAGCAAGGTTTCCCGCCGTAGGGAATGAGTTCCAAAAAGCCAGCTCATGCACCAGGGATAAGTCCATGTCCCACTGCCAGTGTTCCTCAAACAAACCAAACTAGACAACTGTTGCCCACATGCAGAGGGCCTGGTTTGGGCCCATGCAGTCTTCCTAGCTGTCAGTCAGGAGTCCCCAAGTTCCCATGAGTTCGGGTCCACTGTTTCTGTGGATTTCCCGTCTTGTCCGACCCCCCTCATATAGACCCTCCTCCCTCTCTTCGACTGGACTTTCAGAGCAAGGCCTGGCTGTGTATGGCTGTGGATCTCTGCATCTGCTTCCATTGGATAAAGGTTCTATAATGACAGGGTATTCACCAATCTGATTACAGGGAAAGGCCAGTTCGGGCACCCTCTTCACTATTGCTGGGAGTCTTAGTTCAGTTCATTGTTGTGGTTTCCTGAGGATTTTCATAGCAGCAGGTTCTCCTAACCCCATATTGACTCCCGTTATCAGGATATCTCTTCTATTGCTCTCCCATTCCGTCTCTCCCGCAACTCGACCATCCCATTCCTTCATGTTCTCATCAACCATCCCCTCCTCTCTACTGTCCCCACCCCCAGTTTACACAGGAAATCTCATCTGTTTTCCCTTCCAATGGTAATCAATGTGTCCCTCTCAAGGTCCTGCCTGTTCTCTGGCTTCTCTAGAGCTGTGGATTGTGGTCTGGTTATCCTCTGCTTTATATCCAGTATCTACTTATGAGTGAATAATATTGTGTTTGTCTTTCTGATTCTGGCTACCTCATTCAGGATGATATTTTTCTAGTTTCATCCATTTGCCTGCAAGCTTCATAATTTCATTGTTTTTTATGCTAAGTAAAACTCCATTGTGTAAATGTACCACCTTTTCTTTTTCCTTTCTTTGGTTTAGGGGCATCTAAATTGTTTCCAGTTTTGCTTATTATGAATAATGCTTATGTGAATATAATTGAACGGGTGTTCTTGTAATATGATTGAGCATTCTTTGGGTATATGCCCAAGAGCATTAATGCTGGGTCTTGAGGGAGATTGATTCCCAGTTTTCTGAGAAGTTGCCATACTGATTTTCAAAGTGGCTGTACAAGTTTTCACTCCCAGTACTAGTAGAGGAGTGTTCCCCTTAGCCATTCTGACTGCTGTAAGATGGCATCTCAGAGTCATTTTGATTTTTATTTTGATTTTTTGTTTTCCTGATATTGAGCAATTTCTTAAATGTCTTTCCACCATTTGAGATTCTTCTGTTGAGGAGTCTCTGTTTAGATCTGTACCCTATATTTAAATTGGATTGTTTGGTATTTTGATGTCTAGATTCTTAAGATCTTTATATATTTTGGATCAGTCCTCTGTCAGATGTAGGGTTGGTGAAGATCTTTTCCTATTCTGTAGGATGACATTTTGTCTTATTGACAGTTTTCATTGCCTTCTAGAAACTTTTCAGTTTTGGTAGGTCTTATTTATTGATTTTTGCTCTGTCTGTGCTACTGATGTTATATCTAGGAAGTCATGCCATTCACGTTTTAAACTTTGTGTTTTAATAGCATCCTGTAACGTGGCAGCCATCAAAAGAGGGAGACCGATTAATTGGCCGTGTTATTCTTAACAAAAGAACAACCATGCCCAAAGAATCAGGTGCATTATTGGGTCTAAAAGTAAGTATACTGGTTCAAAATGCCTCCTACAGGATAAAGTACAGTAAAGACAGCATTCACAAAGTTTGCAACAGTTAGTTTTAAATATTTTTCTCTATTTCTCAAAGTAAATTCAATCCAAGGAATTTAGTTAAGGAGAAATAGGGCATAGGTGATCCTTACAATAATGTTAAAAGTGTAAAATGTTTCTTTTAAACAAATAATGTCCCCTGATTGAAATAAGAATATGTTAGCTACACAGAGATATTTCTATTTTATAGAACAGTGTATAGGTGTACACATACATACATATCTTGCATTATGTATATCCAGACACATGATTTTGCTGACAGTTTCCTAAATTAATATTCCAAGATTTTGCTTTAAATATTGTTGTGTGTTATCTCTTGAGAATTGTTGGCCATAAATTTATGGAATATGTTCAGTTACCTGTAGAGTTCTTGCCTGGCATCCATGAAAGCCCTGTGTTTGAATCAAAGGACAGCCAAGCAAAAAAATTAATTCATGCACTTATTTGTATTTTGTTGATTATTACTATTAATTAATCTTGCTATGAAATAACTCTGGCAGGCTGTATTAATAACTACGTCTCTAAGAACTGTGGACCACACTCACCATTAGGTATTATTATTTCACCTGCCTTTCCTTTCCTCCACCCATCTTTAATTGTGCATATTTGAGACTCCTGCATATTGTAAATTGAGCCTAGAGTTGTTTTTCAGATATATTGACTTTAGGTAAAATGGAAAATGTCGAATTTTTAGCAATATAATTCAGGCTTGAAAGCCAAGTGTTCATAGCTAGGTAAGGGAATGACATTTTCCTGAGGTTTTGTTGTAGATGTGCTGTAGCTATGATACTTGTAGAACAGAATACTTTGTACAGTGTCACTTCCCCCAGGAGGCCTTTGCTTAGGTGGAATCTTAGAATGTATGAATTCAGGTCTACCATTCTACCGCAGTCATAGAAGAGGGGCCGAGATTTGAAATGGACAGTGAGGCATATCTTTATGCAAATAAGTTGATTCACATGGTAGGCATGATATGGAAGACCAATTAACTCAGTGCAAACTGTGCCAACCACTTGATGAATAACCATGAATAGGAACTTGTTCCCCAAGGTCAGTACACAAACTTCCTTACATAGCCAACCCAAGTATAGTGATTCTTAAAAATAATACGTTACTACTATTTACTTCTGTCAAAAATGAAGTTTATGAATGTCTGCTCACTGGATTGTAAGCATGTTAGAAGACAGTGGACCTTTAGTTCTGCTTACCTGTTTATTCCTGGATATCACTTAGGAACTCATGAGTTTGTAATTATCTAGGTGGTTGGAGGAAAAATGACAGACTTAGGACGTCTTGGTGCTTTCATCACCAAAGTGAAGAAGGGCAGCCTGGCAGATGTAGTTGGACACCTAAGAGCAGGTAACTTTTCTCTTTTCCGCATAACAAACTTGTTCTCACTGTATAAATTGATAGGTTTCAGTTTGTGTCAATAGTTTATATGTAAATTGTCACCAAGTCATTTTAAAGCATGGGTACAGCTCTTTTCCTGGTTAAAACGGTCTCCAATTCATTTATAGGGATCTGCGCATAAGCAGCAATTAGGAGATAGTAAGATTAGTAATCTTTTTAATTAATAAAACAACAGATAAAAATGAAAGAATGCTTATTTCATAGATGACTTTATAATATTATAGCAGAAATATAAAGTGGATTAACATCGCAAAAAATGCATTCCACAACATTGTCTTTCATAATCTGTCAAAACACTAATTTAGGATTAGCAACTGCTGTTTGGCATATTGCCCAATGATAATAATGATTCCCAAACAGATTATTTAATGAATTGCAGGTTAATTTAAGTGTGACATATTATGCCGCTTCTATAGAATTTGGGAGGTTATTTTGCTCTCTATAACCTCAAGTGACATAGTAAAAAATAATGATCACTGAATGTACTGTAAATTCAGTAGCAACAAACTTAAAATTGATATTGATGAATTGTTTATTTTCAATTTTAGGTAAAACTATAATAACATTTTTAGTGGATTTCACTGTAGTTGATGGGTAGTTGTGCCAATAAAGGTGATTGTTGACACAAGAATAAATCTAAAAGTATGTTGGAATCCCAAGGTAGCTAAAGCTAGCAAACTTTAGCTACTCATTTTATTTCAGAAGAGAATAGTATAACGGCTTTTGAATTCAGGTGTGTTTTCTTTAATGGTTACTGAAAAAGTGAATGAAGTTATTGCTCGCTATAACATAATCTGTTATCTAAAATAGATAAGGCACAGCTAGAATAATTGTAAAGCATACAAGTATGCTTTTTACCTTAAGCAGTTTGTTTGCACAAAATAAATAGACTCAATGATAGAGACAAATGGATATATATCTCAATCTATAAACTGGCTTCTCTTCTTTTTTCATATAACAGCCTTAGCTCATAAACGTCACCTGTGACATTATTTTTGACTTTTACTTGGGATTTTGGAACCTTTCTTCCATCTTCCATGGATTCATACAGACCTTTCAAGTCAATTCAGTTTGCTGTTGCTTTGTTTAACCATCCGAAACACTCAAGCTTGTTACTCTAGGTCCATCTGTGTCTGCTTCTTGTTTTTCTCCAACTCAAAGCTTTGTAGCTCTGCCCACTGTGAGCCTGCCGAGCTCCCTGGGTATGTCACTGTACCTGTGTCCTGGCCAGCTTTCTCCCTGCCCGCTACAAGACTTGATCAGCACCACCTGTCAACTTGCTCTGATTGTTAAAATCTTTTTCATCCTTCAGTGCTCATAATTCAAATGTTTCTTGATAGCTCACCTAGAGCAGTGACTAATTCCTACCCTCCTGCTACCACCTGGCTCCACTTCTGTTCCTCATTGGATGCTCGTGATAGCAGGAAACACATTGTTAAAAGATTTTTGCACTGGTTTCTGTAGTTTATTTCCACCATGAAATATAAAGACAAAGTGTTGTCGTTTTTTTTTTTCTTTATCGCCTCATTTACTACATCTACTGAGGAGAAGCAAATGGTTTGAATGGTATCAAATACTTTCTGTATTCAGTTTTATAACACTATAAATACATTTAATCACTGTCAGTTTAATATTAAAAGTTATGTGTTCAGATTACTGTCAGGTATGAAGAGTAATTTACAATGCATAACTTGCAAAACAATGGTTGCAATCATTGTTGAGTATTAAAGTCAATCTATTTATATTCATCGTTTTGCAAAAAAAGAGATAGAACAAAATGCAGTAGGAATTGTCAGGATAAGTACTCTTTTATAAAAGTATTTTCTTATCATAGGTGTGAATATACACATATTTATACATTAAATATATGTCTAATGAACTATGTCTAATTATATATAATTCATTAGATATAAATATATATCTAATAAACTGTAATGTTAAACTTTATTTCTTTGTTCAAAAAACTTTTTGAACATTGCTAACATATTGTGAAAATGAATTTGTTTTCTTTCCTTTCTTCTTATCAGCGGAGTATATCAGTGAAAATCTCTCTAGGTATCTTCTTAGGTCAACTTAGTAAGACTTACTTAATCATTGTTAATAACCATATTAGTAATGAAACTTAAGCAGACTCATGCTCTTTACTTTTAAGGAAAGAAATTTTTGGAAAATAAGAATTAAGTTAAGATTTTTTTCTATCTAATATAAAATGACTTGACTTAAAATCTAAGAACTTGGTATTTGTATCTACCTTTAGGTGTACAATGTTACTAATTAATCACTGATTTTAGTTATGTCCTTGATTATTGTAAGACCTAAAATGGTAAGAACAGCATAATAAGCATGGGCATGAGGAAAATAAGCCACCTCAAAGAATCACTAATGTAGAGTTATCTCACCCAGATCTACCATTGTGAGCTAGAAGGCTCTGTTAGAAGGCCATTTAGGCTCTAACATATTTATGAAAATAAATCTTTGCCTTCAAATCATCTGCTCTTAAAGCTCGAGTTAAATACCAGCCATCAGTTGCCTTACTTTATTCCCATAGGACATCATATTTCTGTCCTTCATTGATCTTAGATTATTTCACAAAGAAATCAGTATGATATGAATTCTCTATTGCTTTAAACATGTCCTGCTGTGACTTTAGTCCTCACTACATCCTCTGTGCAGAATGCATGTGTGGTGAACATCTGGAAGGGGGTTAACTGTCATGCAACAGTTTTTACATCTGCTTGCTTTGTAACTGCCATGGCTACCTATGTTACCTTATCTACGGATATGAATTCAGATCCTTTCATGCATTTTTATGCTGTTGTGCATCAGGTGAAGACATTGGAACCTGACTTAGAGATGGAAAATTCATGCTAGAAAATGTTTATTGCTCTTTTTTACCAAAACTAAAACAAAAGTTCTGCTTACTTAATAAGAATCTATCACATGCAGAGCCGCCTGCATTTATTATATTACAGGGCATGCTGCTAACCATTGGTTTTAATGTTTTCATGTAGGCTGTGCTAATTTCCATTCCATAGCATGAGATTATTTTTATATTATTTCTGGTATATTTAAAAAATTAAGTCAGTTTTGTATTGGATGATTTTCAGTGACCAGTCATATTCGGGGAGGAAAGTAAAAGAAGAAAGTAAAGGTGGTTAGCAGAACCAAATAGCCGACATTATATAACAAGTCATTTTGCTTCTGAGAGCGAAGCCTCAAGTATTCAATGATTGGTATATGGTTTGCATTTCTTTGTTAAAAAAAAAAGAGAAAAGATGAGAAAAGTAAACAGAATATATAAGGTAAAAAAATACCCTTTTTTTTAAATTCAAGGGGATGAAGTTCTAGAATGGAATGGTAAACCCCTGCCGGGAGCAACAAACGAAGAAGTTTACAACATTATTTTAGAATCAAAATCAGAACCTCAAGTTGAAATTATTGTTTCAAGGCCTATTGGGTAAGGCTAAAAACACTTACTTCTTAAGCTTAGTGAATGACATGTATTACCAGGGTTTGACAAAGAAGTGTTTACATTCATACAGTACATGTGAACATGGATAGCTTTTTTCATCTATTATTGGGCATATATAATAGACTATAAATCATTCTTAACTTAAAATTAGAATAGAGATTTTCTTCTCTATGTATTAGAAGCTCCACATGGACCATACAAAAATATCAATATATATTTTTCAAAATAGCAACTTGTCTTTTAGTGATTAACTGCTGATGTTTTTTGTAATTTCTAATGTAATCCGTGGTGTTTCCTTTAAGGGAATAACCAGCCAGTTCATCCTGTGACATTTAAATTATTAAATGAGATTATACATCTCCAATAACTTCTTACTCTATCAAGGAGAAATATTTTTCCATGTATTTACAAACAAATGTTTTCAGCTTTTGTTTAAAACTAGGCAGGGAATATCGAATGTTTAGATGTTTGAACCACTATAATATATAATATTTTTCAAATTTCAGTTTTAAACATGATTCAGTAATCTGTAGACAGTAGAATATGTCTCTGTTTCTGTCTTCAGTTTCCTGTACTATTATCTTTTCTCCACAAACTCACTAAGTCCAAAGTCAAACTATATTTGCCATTCTATAAGTTTTAGTAGACACTTGGAACCATGTCATTATAGTGAGCTCACTATATAAATTTATTCTTTGAAATAAATTTTATATCCTTTTGCCAACCCAAGATATTACAGAGCTCTGATTGGAGACATCTTGTTGAAAACTGTTTTCTTTAATCATCATTGTTTCCATGGGTGTTTATCAATGTAAAACACACAAGAAAATATCCATCCTAATATTGTCAGAATGCCAGAGGATGATCATATTTCACAGAATATTAATATATAAAACTCTAAAACAAAGCTAAGTTTTCAATTAATTTTAAGTGGTGACCAAAAATAAACATTAAAGATATTTCCAAAAATACGATATATATCCATGTAGGCTTTTAAAATAACACCACAATTTATGCTAGTTTCATGTGATATATGTTTTAGTTCTGAGGTACATATGAGAATGAAAAAGAGGTAAGTAAACTGGGAAATAATTAAAAATATAAATATAAAATTTATCCTTGAGCCTTGCATACATAGCCAGATATTTTGTAGTTATGTAGCGCTTCCGGAGTCCTGGGTAAAACAATAATTAACCATGACTTAAGAGAACAGACAATTAAAGTGGACTGGAACAACACTAGAATCACTGTTGCTTCTGTCAACACATTGCTTTGAAATGACCATTGGCAGCTGCAAAACCTAGTCCATCGTGGAACATGGCGTTCAGAGGGTATGACTTTAAAGTTATGTCTGAATAAACATCACAGCTATTGTATACATCATTAGAATAAACATCTGAATAAACATCACAGCTATTGTATACATCATTAGAATAAACATCTGAATAAACATCACAGCTATTGTATACATCATTAGAATAAATATCTGAATAAACATCACATATATTGTATACATCATTAGAATAATTCTGGTTATGTTTTCAAAATATGTTAAATGTTGTTAATATTTAATTGGTGGACATAATGCTTTCAGGAATCTTTGTAGATATAATTTGTAACAATTGATTGATACAAATTAAAAGCTAAGTTCCTTTCAGATGTTTCGGGAGACCCTTGACTTTTCAATGCTCCTAATCATTATTAAAATTATGGATCACAAGACTTGTGAGTAGAAATAACTAAGAAAACCAGTGTTAACAAATGGAACTGTATGCATGGGAATCTTACAAAAGCAATTAGTGTTGAATGTTGATCCAAAAAAATGCATGCAGAATTTTAAAAACAACTTCCTGCTGGTCCTCCTTTCAGGAACACATACAATATTTCAGTTGTACATTTTGAGTTTTTAACTGGATGTCTAAGGTTGTCAAAGACTTTTACAATCTAAAATGTCTTCATCATAAATTCTTTCCATTTGCTCAGGTGAACAGTGAGGAAATTGTCACTGTGAAAATAGTTGAATTTTAGGAATTATAAAGTAATCTCAATTATTAGTTCATGGAAAGTATACAAGTTGGTAGTTACATTAAAATTTATGATAAAATATATATATAAAATGGGCAGCATGAGGTCTTATTGTTAGTAGAAAAATTTGGATGTAGTTAATTGTAAAGTTCGTATTAATTAACACAAAATTGATGAGGCATTAAGAACAAAAAGAGAAAAAAAAAGAGAAAAATAATCCAAGTGAATTTAGGCTGTAAAGTAAGTAATTAAAATAATTACCTGATAAGTTGAAAATTCTATTGACAATAACTCCAGTCTGCTTTAATATGTCATATTAATACTTGCATATTATTAATCTTAAATTGCTACTAAAATAGTTTTGAAAAGGTGAGGCAAGATATTCATATACAGTATAATGCCCAAAGCAAAGTGGCCCAGGGTTCTTATGGGATAGTAAGTTCTCAGTGGAAAATAGATTAAACTGAAGTTATCTTAAGTATTTTTACAGAGTAATTTGTGAGCATGGCAGGAGTGGGTGCTCTCATAACTCACTTTAACCATGTAGTGCAAAAGCCATGTATCTGGCAAACTTTAGTAGAGAGATACAAATATCTATCAAGGGCATTTGTTTGCATACATATTATATGTGCCATGTATATATTACATGCACATATATGAAATATTTTGGCCTTTTTTGTTGCAAGCTTGCACCATATTAATTTCCAAAGCAATTCATCCTTTTAATTTCCTTAACTTTGCCCATGATCGTCATCGTCACATTTAATTATGAAGAAATATTTCCATCTGTTTCACTCAGTAAACTCTTTCAGATGTGTTTGTAAAGCATATTACTGATTTGTAAAACTCTGTGTCATTTTGATTTTCTAGACTTGAAATAAAATATTATCTTTAACATTTTTTTTAATTTCCAAAACCTGCTGTTTTGGTAGTAAAAATATTGTGGTGACCTTATCCACAATATTACTGTGATTGTTGTCCATGTTAGAATGTTTTGCTATTAAAACGATATAAAAATTTCTTTTTTATTGCAGTTTCTTTTAAGTGGTGTTTGGCATTCATACACATCAGTAGTTACCTAAATAGTATCTCTCCTTCATTTCTATGCCCCAAAGGCCCCCAAAGGACTTTTGCCTCACTGAAATAAACTGGGCTGTGGTTGCCTCAGGCAGGGTAGTAAACCTGATTGGATTTTCACTGTACCTGTTTCTTTTAGTGACATCCCCCGGATCCCTGAGAGTTCCCATCCTCCCCTGGAATCCAGTGAGTAATAGAATTTCCTTGTTATTAACATATATTAAAGTAACTTAGAAAAGAAGATTGATTGTTTTCCTGAGTCATTTGATATAAAGGACTGTCTTCACTAATATCAGATGTTGTAAATAACTAAAAAATGGTTCTTTACCGAGAGTTTTGTTCTGCTCATTTTTGTGACCACACCAAAATCTTCATTTCAATATCCTTCTTTATAATATAAAGTTGGAAGTGTTCTGTTTGGGGCAGGTGTTTTGAGGGAAAGTGATGCTGATGACTAGAGTTTATTAGAAAACATACTAGCTCTATGAAGAGACAGCAGGGACCTCACAGCTTGGTGTGAGCATTATGGAGAGTTGAGACCCCAGTAGCAGAGGCAGATGGCAAAGCAGGGACATATGCCAGTGTCAGAACATGGCAGAAGTTGAGGAGAGTGGGTTCTTTCTGCTCTTACAACTTTCTGAGGATGGAGGAGGTCTCAAGACCAAGAGCTTGCAGCCAGGCCCTCTGATTTCTGACTGAAAAAGCATGGGATAAAACCGGACTCTCTGAACATGGCGAACAATGAGGGCTGATGAGAAGCCAAGGACAATGGCACTGAGTTTTGATCCTACTTCATGTTCTGGCTTTGTGGGAGCCTAGTCAGTTTGGATGTTCACCTTCCTAGACAGGGATGGAGTGGGGAGGACCTTGGACTTTCCACAGGGAAGGGAACCCTGACTGCTCTTTGGACTGGAAAGGGAGGGGAAAGGAGTGGGGGGAGGGGGAGAAGGGTGGCAGGAGGGGGAGGGAAATGGGAGGCTGGAAGGAGGCGGAAACTTTTTTTTTTCTTTTTCTCAATAAAAAATTAAAAAAAAAAAGATACAAAAAAAAAAGAGACTGTGGGGGGGGGGCACATATGGATGGAACCAATACCCTTTGTGACTGTGAGCCACGACCTGAGCAGGGGCCTGATTCTGGCATTGCACAGTTACTAGGAGTAAAGCTGTAAACTGTACAGAAAAAAAATATTGTGGGCTGGGTGTTATGACACAGGTTTAAAATGTCATATCTTGAATGGCAGAGGCAGGAAATTGCAGGTAAGATTAGCCTGTGCTACTTGGTGAGATTCTGTCACAAGAAAACAAAACATAGGTAGATAGGTAGGATAGATAGATAGATAGATAGATAGATAGATGATAGTTATAGTGAAACTCAACTATTCAGATTTCTTGATGAGCAATCTCAGAAACAGTTTAGACTAGTGGTTCTCAACCTGTGGGTCACGATCCATTCGAGGGTCAAATGACCCCTTTATAGGAGTCAAATAAGACCTTCTGAAACCACACGTATTAACATTAAGATTCATAGCAGTAGTGAAATTACAGTTATGAAGCAGCAACAAAAATAATTTTATGGTTGGAGGCAAGCACAACATGAGAAACTACACTAAATGGTTGCAGCATTAAGAAGGCTGAGATTCACTGGTCAAGACACAATAATAAATAATTGTCATACCACCACGTGATAGTGTCACATGATATCAGGAGTCCATGGATGTAATAGAGGTCACTGATGCGGTGTGTGACAAAACTGTTCATGTACCGTGGTAAAAGAAATTTCTGAATAATAAGTAGAGTCACTCAGGATGGGATAAGATCATATTTTATGTTAATGATACTTGTAGATAATGAAATTTTGTTAATAATCTGGAAATTTTTGGCATTCATATAAACAAGGGCTTGATTCTTTAGGTCTTATTACAGAATTATCCTATAAACTTAAGTTGGTTTAAGGATAATTGGTGTTGAGAAGGGAAGAAAAACATGATCATAATGGAGAAGGGACCAGTGGGCAAGTTACCATCATGATCCCAAACCTGTTGGAGCTGGGACCAGACTCAATTTTAGGCTTTCTGATGACCAATACTAAGAAATACATGGATAAAGTCTCATACATAATAACAGTCTAGATAAAATTAAAAATAAACTCATTTTTATAAGCTAGCATTATCATAAGAAACATATTCTAAGACCTAAAATGGTTAGTAGAATTAGACTAAATAAACCTGATTAAAGAGAAATTACATTTTATAGCTGTATTCCATGTAATTAAAAGTTTCCTTTTCAGGGCATAAAATGATGGAAGTGGCCTCATTGAATCCTCATTTTGGAGTGGCTGACACAAAACACACTGCTCTCTTCTTACAGGGAGTAGGGGATAGTTTATTCTGGAGCCGTTTTTAGTGAACATGGCTAGGAACACAAATTTATGTAACCCCAAATTCCATGTTCCAACATGGAAGCACTTTCCTGTAGTTGTATAGATTTATAGAACCAAGAAAGTTAATAAATTATGAAAAGTTTAAAATGTATAGATGGGAACATAATAGAGGTGGTTACAGCAAGATGGCGGAAGCTTTTCTATATAGAGAGTAACGATGCCAGTGGCACCAGGATTTATCCCTATTGCTTGAACTGGAATTTTTGGAACCCATTCTCTTTAGATGGATACTTTGCTAAGCCTAGATATAATAGGGAGGGCCTTGGTCCTTCCTCAAAACAATGTGCCTTACACTCTCTGAGGAGTGGATGGGAGAGGGAAGGAAAGGTGGAAGGACTGGGAGGAGGGGAGGTCCTACCTTCCTTCTGGACCTGTAACATCCCTATCCCACTACATCAGTGCAATCTCAACCAGTCTTTGTAGACACAGCTTCCATTCACAGACTATAGAAAAGAATCGCGTGGGTAACGTGCAATTCCACAGGATTTCTCAATGAAGCACTTACTGAGTTTTTGAATATTCAAGAACCTAACAGGATAATTGTGCTTCCTAGCATCCCGTTTTTCTGCATATGCCTGAGCGCTGAGCAACAGCAGCCTCCATAGAGGTTTCTGTGAGAGTGAAGGGGGATCCCCTGCAGTAAATTAAAAAGAAATACTATGCTCAGAAGTTTGAGAGATTTATTTGTGACATTAAATTTAAGAGATATAATCCTTTTTAAAAGAGTGTTGAAATCTAAATTTAAATGTGGCTCATAAACTCTATCAGTTTGTCACTGGAAACAGTACATAGCAATGTTCATCAGGGACGATCATTAACACAACAGGTATCATCTTCTTGGTGATGACATCAGACAACTTGTTCAGGGATGTAATTTATGACAGAGCTGATAGTGAACAATTTCCTTCAACATGTGGATAAGATCTATTATGCTGAAACAAATGAATACAGTATCTTATTATATCATTTAAAGTAGATAGTTAACTAAGGAAGATGAAAAAGAGCATTCATTCTCCAGCTATCCCATGAAAAGAAAATCCCACATCAGATAGTATTAACTATGTCTTCATTCAGATTACAGGTTCAATAATGTTTTCCTTACACTAACCCTTGTTCATTTTTATTCTCATTTTAGGTTCAAGTTCCTTTGAATCTCAGAAGATGGAAAGGCCTTCCATTTCTGTTATTTCTCCAACCAGCCCTGGAGCTCTGAAAGATGCCCCACAAGTCCTACCTGGGCAGCTCTCTGTATGTACTTTTTATACTCAGTGAATGGCATTAGGATGTGTTCTTTGAATCGCCTGGCTTTCCAGAGCCTCCAGTGAATACATAGTCATTTGACACTATCATCCACTTCACCATTGTGGGTATATTTCTCCCGCTTTTCCTCTAGTTACATATATTGGCATACAAATATTTATTGGATGTTTACAATGTGCTAATTGCTCTAAACATTCATTGGTAAATGGTAGCATCTGGAAGAATATCCATACTTTTGTAATGTTACATCAATGCTCCATGTTAAATCAGTAGTCACATACATTCATAGAAAGCCACATTCAATCATCTTAACCTCTTTATGATCCTAGACCTAAGAAACTTAAATTTAAAAAAAAATCTCATTATCTTCTTAGGGCATTTGTTTGTGAACATACAGCACAGATGATGTTCAAAAACAGTGACCAACATATTTTCTGTGAGTTTACTCTGGAGAAACCTAGAAAAATAAACTGACCAAGTGTTATGAATAGCTCATAGATTAAAAATAGAAAGTGAAATGTTTGTATTAATAACTATGAAGAAATCATGCTTCAGATTGTTCTATGAGCAGTTGAGTTTTTAATCTTCAGTGTTGTGTGACTTTCTCTAGTCCCTCTTGATACTCTTTTGATTGATAAGTCAAAAGAAATAAATTTATAGTCACCGTTGTTCCCAAATCCTCCTTATAAGAAATAGCATAACCTGTTTTGCTTAGCTGATTGGACATATTTTTTCATTGTACTTATCCCTGGCTCTTCACCTATACCATTAAAGGTGGCTGAAGCCTAAATTGGTTGGTATAAAAAATCAAATGGAGGGTTGGATTCATGATTCCCCAGACCCTTGTTCTATTCATTGCAGCGATGAAGTAGCTTCTAGATTCAAAGACAGCGTGTAAGTGAACACCATGAGTTCAGAGGCATGTTCTTGCTACCAGCATGAACTATGCCTTTTGTGTTCAGATCCAGTTTGAGTCACCTTTTGTTTCACCATTGGGCTGCAACATGAAGAATTCATTATCAGAAGTGCCACTCAGCTTCTCGCCCTGGGTGTGTCCCTTTCTTCTCCCCTCTCCTCTTTTGCTCCTCTCTTTTCTAGATTTCTCCTCCTATTTGTTCTCCCTGCCTGCCAATCGCACTTATTATTTTCTTGCCTAGCTGTGGCCATTCAGCTCTTTATTAGATCAATCAGGTACCTTAGACAGACAAGGTGAAAAAGCAACATACGTAGTTAAACAACATACATAGTTAAACAAATGGAACACACCGTTACACAGCTGAAGTAATATTGTAGAGCATAAGCAAGTGTGGCACATCTTTGCCTGGTAAAAATAATATTCCACTACAGTTGCATTTTCACGCCGAAGATGTCAGATTTACAGACTTTGAGCTATACACAAGATGCTTTCTAAAGGGAAAAGTTAACTTCTCAATGGCTGTGTTTTCAAATCACTGTAATTCCAGGACACTTCAAGTCAAAACCTAAACCTTTAAATAGAGTTATGCAAAATTTCTATTAGCTCGTGATTTCAAATAATCGGAACCTCTTTGTGCAACTGCCCTAGGTAAAGCTGTGGTATGATAAAGTGGGACACCAGCTGATTGTAAATGTTCTACAAGCAACGGATCTACCCCCTAGAGGAGATGGGCGCCCCAGGAATCCCTATGTAAAAATGTATTTTCTTCCCGATAGAAGGTAATGAATGATTTTTGAAAAGTTTACTAGGCTTGGTATTAATTAGAAAGATAGGATTTCCTTTCTGGGATGTATTTTCTGATTATATAGTAAGTAATCCCCTGTAGGAATTAATCTGTCTTGTCCCTGAAGACAATGTCTCAGATCTTTTACTTGAAAACAATATGGTACTTTTAAATATGCCCATTAGTAGAGACACTACATTAAGCATGTACCTTATATATCTGACCTACAGTCAGAACCATTGATGCATATATAATTGGAATTAGTTCTATTAAGTAATAACAGTATTATGCCCTATGGGATCATTTTGAATTTTGATGTTACAAAATAACCATAGGAAAAAAATATGTGCTAGAAATAGAGTTCAGCGGCAGAAGACTCCTCTCGCTTGATGACGCACTGGGTTTGAACCTCATCTCAAGATACTGATAATAAATGACAACTCAGTTGTTCAGCCATTACAGGACAGTCATACAATCCCCTCTAAGGCTTGTGGAACATTGTAGAATAAAGCAATGCAAATAATGCAAAACATATACATAGATATGTTATAAAACTCCAAATTCTGGGAGAGACGGAACATTTTTTTTTATTTTTTATACTTTATTTTTTTATTGAAAATTTCCACCTCCTTCCCTCCTCCCTCCCCCTCCCCTCTCCAGTCCAAGGAGCAGTCAGGGTTCCCTACCCTATGGGAAGTCCAAGTCCTCTCCGCTCCCTTCAGGTCCAGGAATGTGAGCATCCAAACAGACTAGGCTCCCACAAAGCTGAGATGGAACATTTTTAATCATGAACTCAAAGAGTCTGCGTTTGCCTGTACTGCGCACACACAAACATACACACATGCATTCAGGCCAGATACACATGCCACACACACATCACTCACGTACCACACACACATACACGCACACAACACACATGCATTAACAGAGCACACAGACACACAACACACATACAACATATACAAATGCTTACACACAACACACACATATAAACACAACACGCAAAACACACACATACATATATAGCACACACACATACACATGGAGGGAGATCATTCATCAGCCAGGTATGGATTGGCGCTCAAGGACTCTATTCCTCATAGATGAATTATTTGCTACAGAAAGATTTCAGATTGGCCAAGTTTCCCCTTCAGTTTTCTGCTCTGTGGGAGCACAGGCCAGTGGGTGCAGAGGCTGCTCTGGTTAAACTCAGGAGGTTCTAAAACAAAAAGTCACAAATCTCAGAAAAGGACATGTAGGGAGTTGGGTGGGAAGATTTACAGGGAATGGGATGAGGTAAGTGGGGGGAGGCAGAAGTAAACAGAATGCCGTACCTATGTGAATGAAGTTATCAAAGAATAAGCTTAATACAGAGAAAGAAAAGGGAGAAGCGTGGAAATCCTGACTTAAATGACACACGGCTGCACTAGAGAGCAGCACGTCCTTGATTTCACTTGCTCACTTTGGAAACATCTTTATTTCTTAGCGACAAAAGTAAAAGGAGGACCAAAACTGTAAAGAAAATTCTAGAACCAAAATGGAACCAAACATTTGTCTACTCGCATGTACATCGTAGAGATTTCCGGGAGCGAATGTTGGAAATTACTGTGTGGGATCAGCCAAGAGTCCAAGAGGAAGAAAGTGAATTTCTTGGAGAGGTGATGTTTAGATTCAAGTCAGCTGCGTGCTGCGGCTTTTGACATCTATTAGTCGCGAGACCTTGCGGCTTGTGTTTCATTTGAGAACTGCCTTTTCAGATTCTCATAGAGCTGGAGACGGCACTTTTGGATGATGAGCCCCATTGGTATAAACTCCAGACACATGATGAATCCTCACTACCTCTGCCTCACCCATCGCCGTTTCTGCCAAGGCGGCATATCCACGGAGAGAGCTCCAGCAAGAAGCTGCAAAGTAGGTGAACTTCAGTTTAGTTGGCAGACAGTGATGGTGTTTCTGGGTTCTGCTTAGGGATAGATGCTCAAAAAGATAGCTTTGCAAAAGTTGTATGGTAGAGCAAACTAGTGGAGAATTGCTCATCTCTCTATAAAAGAGATTTAGCTGTGCTATTTTCTACATGTCACGATAAAATAATATATGAAATATAGATTATTGAGAGATGAAAGCTGCAAGTCTCCCAGGGACCACCGTGGACATTGTTTGAAACATTGAGGGGCTGAATGATTGAATGATTCTCTATTTAGTAGTGGGTGCCTACAAATAAAGTCATAACAGCTTTATCACGTTTAGGGTATTTTAATCTCATTGATAAGAAAGATATATATTTAAGGGGTGATATTATTATAAGCTTATTTCTCTGCATGTGGTAATTAGGAAGAGTCATTTTCTCTATAATATTTTTGGGTTATCACGTAAATAATCGCTGCAAGAGATGAAACTTAGAAGCATTGTTTTCGTCACCTTGATTCAGGTTTTTGCCTTTTTGTTGAATATAATATGTCAATAGTTCCCTGACCAATAATTTCCTCAAAATTAATATTCACCAGTAGCATGGCTAACAAACATATGTTTTAACAATGGGCTTGATGCTTTTGAAGCATCCTGAGGTGTGCCAGATGGCTGACAAGGTAGGTCTTTGAGGCTGTGCCCTCAGCCTCACTCTTCTCCCTACAGGGCAAAGTGTAGGCACTTCATTATACGCTGTCAGTGCAGCATTTAAAATAAAGAAGGACATGAGTCAAATTATATTCCATAAGAGCCCTTCAGTGAATTTTGTTTGGAGGAAATTCTAAAAGCTGTGTTTTTTTTTTTTAAAGCAAACTTGTTTCTCGACAAACCAGACCAGTGTTTACTTTGAATTATTCTTGTTCAACTATGTCCTTTGCATATTGTAAACCGAGTAGACACAGAGGTCTCTGTTTGCCTTACTGTTGTGCAGGATCTCAGCGAATCAGTGATAGTGACATCTCAGATTATGAGGTTGATGATGGTATTGGAGTAGTGCCTCCAGGTGCGTGGTGAAGAGCATGGCTCTGCTTCCCTCTGTCCGCTTGATTCCGCTGCCCACTTCCAGGCTCCTTCCGGATGCTGAGCTGGAGGTCTTTAGTGCAGAAACATCAGTGTTTTGTTATTCCATGGTGACTTGAGTTTCAAATTGCTAACAATGTTTAAAATGGACGAGCATCTCCGAATTCACACTCTACTTAATTGACATAGTCAGGTTCCCCCATAAAAGTATGCCTATGTAGGATAAACAGAAACCACTATTTCATAATACTCTGAGCATTGTGGAAATGTGGATTTCATTATGAAAGGATATTGTTAATTTTATTACATCCAATTCCACTCTCCTGTGTTTTATATTGTATTTCTATGATTTTCCTTCCCCCATTTCTCAAAATACCATAGCCTTCCATGGAATATACTGAGAAAGGTGCATGGCAGGGTTTAAAATTGCATGTGGCATGGCTGTAGCTTTTATTGCTTTTGTGGTGTGCTCACTACTTATACATGTGTGTGTGTGTGTGTGTATGTTTTGAGGTAAGACAACGTGCTAGAAAGAGTCACTATTTTTTTTGAAGTGTTTGTCTCCTTGTCTTTGTATAAGTTGGCAAAAGTTTCGTGAAATATGAAAGTGTAGATTCACGTTTTCCCCTCTGAGTTGTCAGAAAAGCACTTAAAATCAAGGAACACTCACGTTCTTTGCATTGGTCCTGTTCAATTCCCTCTGTTTACTAAGGGGGAGCAGGCGGTTCCACTGAGAATGGAAAGAGAGATTACAGCATATAGAAATGAAAGGTAGTTGGTTAGTACAGGCACGTGTGCCCTTTGTTTATGCAACGTCTGCTGCCGGGTGCACTTAGTTCAAGGAGGAAGGTCTTAATAAAATTGGTAGAATCAGCACTAGGGAGAGAGTTCATGCTTTTGGAAAGGTCCATAGAACTTCATTCAAGATATGATTAAAATACAGAGAATTTTCTAAAATCACATATTTGCTATGTGTCTTTCAAAGAAGGTACTTATGTGGAAAAAGTAAATATTGTTAAATTAAACAGTTCTATGACTTAGACTAGATTATGAATGAATAGTTTTGTATAATAATGAGTAACATTTTCTATTTGCAGATTTTATTTTTAAAAGATCATTATAATTGTGCACATTCTTAAAACACTATTTCACAGAATAGAAAATCATAAAATTGAATGAAATCAAATTGCTAAAATGATTATAAATTTAAATCTATTGACACATTTAAATTCATATAATGAATGAGAGTATTGCTGTAAGAAAGTAATCAAATATTTATTGGGGTTGATCAGCCTTAAAGTTATTACAAACTTACGTAAATACAACTTGCTACTATGGGTGTTTCCCATGTTATACTCACCTTTCTCACTTTTTAAAATGAGGCAGCAGAGGATGAATGAATAGCCAACTAAAAACACTTATTCAAGTGGTGGGCTCCTTTTCCTTTCTCTGAGATAAACGTGTACATCATACATCGGCTCCTGAGAAGTCAGCATGGGTGATGAATCCACTACCTGTGAGATTATGACTTGGACATCTTGTATAAAACACTGAATTATAAATATACCTCTGTCCACTACTCAAGTGTATTATAGTTGCCCTAGTGTTTGGTAGCACATAGAATCTTTATTATAGAAATCTGATGCTTCAAATTGTGTTTCACAGTATCTAGCTCTGTAAATTAAATGACCACAGCCTGAGAGATAAGAATTTATATAACCAATAAGTGACAGTGTATGTTTCAGATCTCATTTTATTAACTAGTGAGCAGAATCATCAATTTCCTAAAAATTTCAGACATCTACTTCTTTGGTCCAATATAAAGATACAGGGACCCTCTAAAGATACACGGAACAAATATAATTTAGTAAAGATATGTACATTATGAATCAATACACATAATAGTTCTAAATAGAAGAAAGATGAAGCATTGATAAAATGTAGATAAGTGAGCATGAAGAGAGGGGATTAGGTTAATGAGTACAATGTGCTCCTGGTACTTCTGGGTGACTATGAACTTGCTCTTGCATTTCTAACATCCTGTGTGAAGACAGAAGGGAGTTGCTGATTGTAGATGGCCTGAGGAAGCTTGAGCGCTTCATTCACAATGTGCTCCTGGTACTTCTGGGTGACTATGAACTTGCTCTTGCATTTCTGAAGACAGAAGGAAGTTGCTGATTGTAGATGGCCTGAGAAAGCTTGAGAGCTTCATTCACAATGTTCTACAACAACCAAGTCTCATACTTCCTCATTCCTCATGTACTTAATAGCTACTGCAATCATAGCCCTACAGCACGCAATCCTATGGTTTTGTAAACTAAGTAGTTCCAGCTGCTTAAGAAGAATGAAACCCATATGCAAAATGCTGTTATTTGAAGGCTGGCATCCTCCACTTTTGGAGCATCTTAGTAAGTTCAGGAAATAAAAATAAAATTTCTAATTTATAACTGAACAAATGAAAAAAATTAAGATGCGAGTTAGCACTGCCTCTTTTATTTAACTCATCACTTAAGACTGTGTGCAGCCAATAATTTAAAACCAAGGATTCGAAAAGATAAATTAAGCAAGATATGACGATTAATCTATATATTATTTTATATAACTAATGTGACTATACTACAATTAAAATTAAATTATAAATAATTATTAATGTAGGTAAACTTTAATGTAAGTGGATATATAGATATAGTAACTTTAAATATAGAATCATACTTTAAAATATTGATGATTCATATAATATTATGCAGGCATAAATTAAGTATCATGTCTTTTCACCGCACATTGTTTCTTATTTTCTTTGCACTAATGAAAATTCATGACCATCATAAAAACATAAAAAAACACCACTTTTAAATTGTGAGCTGTTTTCATGGATTTCAGACTTTTCCGTCTGAATCAAAGCAGAAATGACACAGATATTTTTTATCCCAAATACATCACAATTGGTGTTTCTGTGCAGTGGGGTTAACTGTGTTCATTTAACCATGGTTCATGAACACAACGAAGGGCTAGTTTTACATATCCTAGATAGGTTTGATGACTTCCAAGTCTAACAGTCTCTGTTTCATTGCCATCAGGCTCTCCGCTCATACACTAGTTCCTTTGAAATTTGCATTTATTGGCTGCAAACCTCACAACCAGTGTTTGTCATAGCAAAGAGCAACTGCTCTTCTTTGTTCATTAAAATGAGTGTGGGATGTTTTTATAGCCAATTAAAAATGGTTAGAATGCTTTTGTGATGACTGCATTTGTAATACGACTAAGTGGTTGATCCTTTAGAACAATTCAGGGGTTGGAGGGATGACTGAGTCTGTAAAGTTTGCAGCACAAGCCCAGACTGTCATGGTGGCATGCGCTTGTGAACATAACGCTGAGACAGTGCAGACAGGAGGATCCTTGGAGCTCACTGGCCAGGCAGCCAAACAGAATAGATGGTCTTCAGGGTCAGGGAGATGCCTTTTCTCAATAAGATGAATCACAGTAGCGGAAGATATTTCATGATGACCTCTGGCCTTTCCGTGCCCATACTTATACATGGGCAGCTTCACAAACATACACATACATACACACATTAACAGGCACAGATGCACACAAAAATATATACCACACACAGAAGAAAAGAAAGAAGAACTAAAATTAATTAAATTTGAAGAAACACCAGGTCTAATCATTGGCTTGTATATTGACTCTAGTTCTCTCGCTGCTTTGTTTATGTTGCTGAAAAGTCACTAACTCATTCGTTTTTTTTTTTTTAAATTAGAATTGTTCCCCAATTCATCATAATGTCTGAGGCATAGACCGTCATGTTACTGTTCAGTATCTTCATGGTAGCTTTGAGCCTAACTGTAATGTGTTCTTCTGCATGTCTTAGCTTACACTTTGTGTATGTAGACGCAAAGCTTTGGGCAGTAAGACTAATAATACTGATTGCATGGCGTTTAACATTAGAAGGTTGGTGGCTGCTTGGATATAATTTCATCATTTCCATGTTAATTTATGCCATACAAAGTCCTAACAAGTCTTTTTCTCCATATACTTTTGTCAGTGGGTTATAGATCTAGTGCTAGAGAGAGTAAAGCCACAACATTAACAGTGCCAGAGCAGCAAAGAACCACTCATCACCGCTCACGTTCCGTGTCTCCTCATCGCGGCGATGATCAGGGAAGGCCGCGTTCACGTTTACCAAATGTGCCATTACAGAGGTAGGTGGGGAGCAGGTTAAAGTCCTCGACAGCTCTTTCTTTTCTTATATTCCAGTGGATTTTACTCTAGATCAGTAATTGCAATGAAATGATGGTTTAGCCAATCAAGTTAAGGAATTTTGCTGTTTGTTAGCAGAGACCTAGCTCATCCCACATGGGTTCAAAAAGTTTAATACTGAAAGAAAAAAATGAACAACAGCAGTTTTCTGAAAGGAGAATATATTATAAAGATATACAGTATTATTTCTTTGAAGCGGTTTAAGTCCTGGAAGACTCTCTCTCTCTCTCTCTCTCTCTCTCTCTCTCTCTCTCTCTCTCTCTCTGTGCATGTCTGTGTATGTGTCTCTCTGTGTGTGTATTTTCTATTTCATCTGACTCTGAACATACTTCTGAAGCTGTAACTATACAGATAAAAATCATGGGCCTTTTTATACAGACATAAAATCAGGTTGGAAAAATGCAACAGAGGCAAAACTGAGAGTCTGTTCTCTTAGTTCATCGAATAAAATTGGCTTCGGTGTTATGTTAGCATCTTTAAAGCATTTGTCATTTGTTAGCCAGTTATAGTCCCTTTTTCCCCCCTTTAGTCTGTTGATAGTTTGGGAAAATACTTTGTCACGTGAATTTTTGTGCAATATTCTAGGAGCTTAGATGAAATTCATCCAACACGAAGGTCACGTTCTCCAACCAGACACCATGATGCCTCCCGAAGTCCAGTCGATCACAGATCCAGACATATGGAAAGTCAGTATTCATCGGAACAAGACAGGTACTTTTCTAAAGTATAATCACAATACTGTAATCTTTCTATGTTCTGTTTTAATATATACAAATATTGCAGGATGATATATGAAAGAGTTAAGTTGCATCATTCAAAACTGAACTCTCCAACAGTTTTGATAAACATATGCAAATCTCAAAGTTATTCAGTCAAGGTCATACTATTATTCATATTTTTAGTCATGCTTATTTAGTTGTGACGTTTCATTGACTTGGATGTTGACCTATATTTTAGAAGAAAGGCTACGTGAAAAATTTTGAATAACTTTTCTCCATGGGTCACATTTGGATTGTTGTATTTTTGTAATTATAGAAGTGACATTGTTTCTCTAATTCAAGTGTTTTTGATAATGGTCATCTTAAAGGTTGTTTTCACTGCAGACTCTGAAAACGTCAATAATGTTTTGTTATATACCACTTTCTTATCACGTGTCTTCTCATAGGCCTCTGTGAAATACTACATATGCAGATAGATTATTATATGGGTGTGTACATTATTAGTTCTTCACTTATTAATGAACAAATAACCTGTGGAAATTGTTAGTTGGAATCTATATAATAAACGTATTTTTCTTCATGCCCACAGACATTCTCATCAAAGTAACCACATGGATGTGCTGGATTAGCCTAGGGGTAGTGCAGGATTGGAGTTAAAGTGGAATGAAACTCACCTTGTTGAATGTTCTCTTCTGGTGTTTTGAAGTGGAGGAAAGTGCAGGGAGGGCTAGAGCGAGGAGAGTGGTGTGGAATGAAGGATGTGAAGGACTCAAGGACACAAAACCCAAGCTGAGCATCTTAAGTTCCTATGGGAAGTGCTGCTGTGACCTTCAAGTGTGAATCACATTGGAGACTGGGGGACAGAATTGCTCTAAGGAATAGTATTTCTTACTGCTCAGTTGAGTGAGTGAGTGGGTCCTGCATAGCCAACTCTATTCTGGGTCCCGGTGAATAGTAGTGGGACTACAATCAGCAATGGGCTACATGGCTAAGGAAAGCGACGTATTTAAAACAATTTGATTATAGAATAAAAACCCTAGTTAAGAAAAAAAACATAATATGATACACATTCTGAGTGGCTACTAATGACTAGGAAATGATCATGTTGCTAAGTTTCTAAAAAAGAAATAAAACCAATTATTTTCCATTAATATCTGAAAGGTCAAACTTATGCATTTTAGTTACTGAAATAACTGTATTGGGAAATGTGTTCCTATACTTTTTTGGGAAAAGGCTGTTTTTCTAACCTTTTTATTGTTTCATAAAATTGTTTTGAACCACTAAGTAGTCAGTCAGCAGCCATTAGGACGTCAACCATAATGTTTGTTACTCTATTGTTTGAATTTTTTAACGCTGTCATGTTTATTTTTTTGTTTAACCTCTCAAGCAAGTACGCTAGTGCAGATGATCTGGTTTTTCCCCCTTTTCATGTTTTCATTGGCATACCATTGGCACAACCCATGTCATTTAATGCCTCATGATTTATCTGTCTCACCCACCACCCATCCTGTCTGTGCAGTGAGCTTCTCATGCTGCCCAGAGCAAAACGAGGACGAAGTGCAGAATGCCTTCACACGACCAGGTAAATACAAGGATTTGGTGATGCTGACTGTGTGTGATGATTCGCTTCCCATTCTGCTAATCCGTCTCTCCCTTGGCAGTATTATTCCTACACCGTAGAATTCCCCAACCATTCAAAAGCAACATTATTTCATATGGAGGTTAGGCAAAGATTTCAAAAACATTTTAATCAAAACAGACCACTTCGACATGAGTATATTAAGAAAAAAAAATCAAGACTGGTGAGCCTCTTTGGAAATATTTTCACACCCATAAAAAAACGAGGAACCAGTTTCTCCAATTTTGATTGCAAATGCCCATTGTGAGCTCCGCCTCTTCACACGCGGACTTAAAGACCTGTCTAGTCACAAAAGCTCTGTTCTCCCGTGCGTGGCAGGTTTACTGTGTTCATGATTGTGGTTTTGTTGCTTTAGCCTTTCAAACGCTTCCTTTTGGAACTTGCTATCTTTTATGTTCTCTTTTTCTTTCTGTTTTTATTTAAATGTTTTCAGTTCGTTTTTAATGGCTTGGCTTCAGGTTCCTTAATGCCCCTGTCCCTACTAGTTCAGAAATTTCCTCATGAGGACATGCATACGTACATGTAATACCTCTTAAAGTTACTTAGAGGAGAGAGAGGACGGTATACTCCTTTGCTTAAAGCATGATGCAAAATGTTAGGCTTGTATCTTGAATTTCAAATCTGATAAAAATAACTCTTTAGCGATTACTAGTAGAGTCTAGCTAGCTAATCATTGCTGTCAGTTTGTAGTCAACTGAATGTTGAGAAGCAGATGAGTGAAAAGAGCACAGATTCTCCCAAGTGTGAAAAACCCACAGGAAAGAGTACAAAGGCCTCACCTGCGATACAGAGAGAATTTTAGGATTCATTGTATTCCTTCAGGACACATGGTTCTGATTGAAAATGTGATCGTGACTGGGCTAGCAAGAATTGTTTGAAAAGTACTCATCTAAAATTATCCAGCTGCTAATCATTATTCAGTTTATTTTGTAGGGCCACAGGATAAGTGAGGAAATTGTTAATTCTATGTATCAACTGAGGTTAAAGTAGAAAATCATGAAGGTTTTTAATTACCTCAAATCATTTATTACACTAAACTCCTCAGGCTCCCAGCAAATGTTTCTAAATAGCAATGAATTATTTACAAGTTCTGTACATTTTCTTCTATTGCTGTCTATTTCCTTTCCTAAGAAAGGAGAAAAGATTCATACATATTTTTCTGTTTATGGATCTAATTTGTGCCTGGATGTACACCAGTCTAAATAAAATGGTTTCTCTTCATTTTTTATCTTGTACTTATCAAGGTGAAGTATCAGGGCTTTTAAAAATGCCATGCCTCTAGTTGCATCATTTAATATAATCTCATTTTTAATACAAACGTTTCACAAATTATTCCAAATTATTCCATGTATCTTTAATGTTTGACGGATAGGATCAACTAATGGTTTTAGATATCTTCATATAGGTAGTCAGTCATCTTCATAGATATATATGAAAATTTAATAAATGTCAATCTGAGACTGATCAAGGCATTGACTGATACCTCCACAGATGTAGAAATGCTAGCATTTTTTTCCAAATGTAGAGATGAGAAGAAGCAGTTACAGCGACTTCTCTGCCTCTTATTTTTATAATGGTAAAACTGCTGACTGCATTTTTTATTGCAGCTGTATTGTTTTATTCTAGAGTTTTCAAAAAATTTCCCTTCCTTCTACCTCTTAATACTTATTACTAAATTTCTAAAGTCAGAGAAAATGTGAGTTCAAATATATGTACATGCATGTGTATTTAATTATCTCCTCTTTTTGTACTCATGCATTTAAAAATTATTTTATATATTTATATAAAGATATATACAAACATAAGCTCATTTTTGAATGGATATACCATATAATTTTATTTCATATAAATTTTAGAAATTTATTAAGAATATCCTTCTATGGCCAAATTGTTAAATAACACTTTCAAAATACTAAATTTACTGTAATCTTATTTCAGAGAATCTAACAATTCTCTGAAGTATTTGTACTAACAATAGTGTGTCAGCTAAGATGAGACTGAAAACTGCAAATTAAAATCATTGTTCATATTTTCGAAAACATATTTAAAAACCTATCTCATATTAATCAATTTGTAACGAACTATCATAAATCACATTGTTAACGTAAAAGTCCTCTGGTGGCATAGTGTGCCTGAAATGCTGTACCTGCCTTAGCATGTCCTAGATACTTTATAAATGTTATCCATTTATTTCGTACAGCACCCTGCCTCACTGATGATATTTCTTCCATTTGGTTTATGTAGAAATCAACTTAAAGTCTTGACCTGCGTTGTCTAGATTTCAATCAGTAGGTTGCAAAGTCAAGATGTTTATACATCAAATTTTATGTCATTTTCCTTTTGGCTTCTGACTTCATGTAGATCTCTATTACCAAGTTCGTAAAAATAAATAAGCAAGTCCTTTGAAAATTTTTATAGAAAACTGTCATTAAAGTGTCTTTCCCACGGCAGGAGATGGCAAGAATAGAGTTTTAAGGAGGTTGAACATTTCAATATTGCTTTCCCTAGTATGACTGTAAAAAATACTCTTAAGACGTCCTTAAATAGAGGCTTCAAAAAATTTCCTCTGATATGCCCATTAGTGCCATCATGGTTATACCGGGAGACTGTTAGAATTTAGGGACTTTAGTAAATACATCTTCCCTCCATTTGTCATGCTTTAGTATTAACTAAAATGGATGGTGCAGTTTTATAGTTAACATTACTAGATTATCAATAAAAAACTATTAATTAACTGGATTCACCTTGCCCCTTATAGGATAGTGCAGCTACCTGAAAGGTTTTGTACAAACTTGGGCAAATTTGGACCTTGTTTCTGCCACTTAATACCAAATAGTGAATTAATTAGCATTAATTCCCTGCATCAGTGTTTCCTGGTTAAAGCTTTGCTTTTCGGTCGGTTTCCTTTAGTCTTATTTTAACTCCGGAATGACATCTATTAGTGCGTTTGTAGTTTCAACACTAAGCTCTTCTGCTTTACATAGGCAGTATATATTTGACCAGGGATTAGAAAGGCTTTAGCATTGGTTTGTAGTTCATAGAATCTATCAGATATTTTCCCAAATAAGATGATTAAATTATAACTTAAAGTAACATGAAATAACATGTCACTTTATATTTTATTAATTCTGATTTTTCCTTGAAATAACTATTGTGACTTCTCTATGAAAACTAGCAGAACCCCTTTGACCCAGCTTTTGTCAGGCCTCCTACTTCCCTAATGCCGTAGTTAAATTTATTTCATATTTTTTTTTGTTTGTTTTCCTGCATGTTTGTGTTGCCATGTTCCAGACATGTTGTTAGGCACTCTAAATCTTTACCACCCAAGATGCCTTGGTTACAGAACAACTGTCGTTGTATCAGCAGGTAAGAGGCAGTGCAAGGTGCTCTGCTTGAACTAACCCCCAACCCCAGCCAACGAAAACGGAAAAGTGACGTCCTCATGTGTCATTTACCTTAGGCTTTGAGTTAATTGTCCAGGAAGCTGTCTTTCATTAAGACTATCTAATCCTGATTTAATTATAAACATATATTCTAAAACAACTATCTAAGCGAAACACAATTCAGAAGGCAGAATTCTGCTTACTTACCATTTCCTTGTTGGTTGCAATTGTGGCGATTAATTTCGTTTCCTTTTATTTGTGTGACTTTGATTTGTGAAGTACAGCGCTGCCTGCACACACGTGGACCAGATCAGTGACTAGACAGGACATTCCCCTTCAGCCTGATTGCTGTAAATTGAGAGTGCTGACGTTTACTGATGTCTGTTAGGTCAGAGCATCAGGGAGTGAAGACTGACTCTCACTCCCCTTGTCTAGTGCTGTGAACCAAACTAGCACAGCTGTACAGTTATTTCTCCTATGATGTCCTTCATTTTGTTTTGGTGTGGCATCTGTCCTTGGTAATACAGTTTTAGGCATTTTGTTTTAAATGCTTCCTGTATCCAATTTGTTTTTTTTTCATAAGTAGGTGTGATTTAGTGTCATATTTCAGTCTGAGATTCTTTTCTATTTTTTTAAATTATGCAACGCAATTTAAGCATAATATTTGTTTACTTTCTAAACAAAAGTTTACACTGTCATCCCGTGGCTCTCTCACACCCTTATGAACTGAATCGCAGTGATTCGACATTCTGTGTAATGAGAACATTATTTTATGCTTTCCTCTCTAACGTGGTCTTCCTTTCTTTCCTTTGTCTTTCTCTTCTCCCCCTGGATGTAATGCCCTGGCACTAGCGAGCTGCAGCCCTCCCTTGGCAGGGCTAAGAGTGCTAGTACCAACTGCTTGAGACCAGACACTAGTTTGCATTCACCAGAACGAGAAAGGTATAAAATAAAGACTTTCTGAATTTCTTATCATTTGTACAGTGACTTTTTTTTTAAACCACTCTGTTTTGTTTCATGTGAGTCTCCTAGACTTATCCACTCATGCCAACTCTCTTGCTGTCTTCATTTTCCTCCCTCAGTACGCATCTGTGTAGGGATATGTGTATGTGGACATGTGCGAAACACACATATGCATATTTCTATGAATGTTGTTGCAAATGGTTTGATGTAACTTGTAAATGCTTCTGGCTGCTGCTTCTCTTTTGTTTCTGTTCAGTTTCGTGTTTCTGTGATTCAAGGAGCCTTCAGTATGCTGATAAAGCCATAGGATAGTGAGTTATTGGAAGGGTTGAATATTGTTTCCCCATTAGGAGTGGCGATAAATAATATTTATAGATCTCATAATAATTTTTCATAAAGTCAAAATAAAAATTCTTTTGATATAAACCTTATCTTACTGGGCGGTGGTGGCACACTCATTTATTCCCAGCACTTGGGAAGCAGATGCAGGAGGATCTCTGTGAATTCGAAGTCAGCCTGGTCTACAAGAGCTAGTTCCAGGACAGGGTCCAAAGCTACAGAGAAACCCTGTCTTGAAAAACATTAAAAAAAAAAAAGCCCTTAGCCAGGCAGTGGTGGCGCACGCCTTTAATCCCAGCACTCGGGAGACAGAGGCAGGCGGATCTCTGGGAGTTTGAGGTCAGCCTGGTCTAGAAGAGCTAGTTCCAGGACAGGAACCAAAAAAGCTACGGAGAAACCCTGTCTAGAAAAATCAAAAAAAAACAAAAACAAAAACAAAAAAAAAAACACAAAAAAACCCTTATCTTTAGCCCTTTTTAATTAACCTACTTTTTAGATAAATTATGTTAAATTTTATTTTGTAAAAAAATTTTAGATTTCCTGAAATCTTTCAAAAGTAAATATAATACATTTAACATGTATTCTCATAGATCATTTTTGTTAAAGCTTTTGTATGATGATGAACAAGTACTAATTTTGATCTAGATGCAGTCAGTAATAGTGTATCATAGTGTCTTCTAAATGTAAGTGAGTGAAACAATTGTTTCCTTATTAGGAAACTTTATATTCCTGCAAACTTAGTTGTAACTGATGGTCTTGGTTATAGTCACTGTCCTTGTTAAGTTAGATGCCATTCACAGGGAATTTATAAGTGACTTCTGCAATCTCTGATGAGAAGCATTTGGTTGGACTAATGTAGCCCTGGTCATACTTTGTTTAAACTTTTTTTATTACTAATCTTTATAGTCTATGAGATGTTTATTTCTTGGGATTAAACAGTAGATCTTCAAAAGATTATGCTACAAACCTTTTTTGCATTATTAGGTATAAAATTTAAAACAGGAAAAATGAAATCACATAATTATGGTTTCTATTGCTGTCACAAAACACCATGACCAAAAACAAGTTGGGAAGAAAAAGGTGTACTTGGCTTACAGTTAGTGGAAATTGCTGTAGACTGTTCAAAAACCGTGGTTAGTCTTACTTTTTATTTTGTTTTGTATTATCCTATCCCCAAAATAATTACAATGATACCATCAGGTAATTCTAATATGTTTCATATTATTTGTTTTTTATTTATGATAAATATTAAAACAGGTGTAGAATTACCAGGTTAGTGAAATTTTCAGACTGTAACAGTCCTCTGTCATTTTTAATATATAGATGAATGCTTGCTGATAAAAAGACAGTTGAAGTCATGTGTGTGCACTTTTAAAATCTTTGTAGCCATACTAAAAAATGTCAAAATAAAGCCTAGCCTAGCATTAAATAGCATTATAGCATGTCGGTAATAGCTGTGAGGGTTGAGGGAGACAGTGTGTATTCTTCTTTGTATGGTAAGTCATGAATATTTCATTTAGAGCACACCATAATTTGGACTTGTCAGATTCTTCTGGCTGCTTTGTTGTACAGCTTAAGTCTCACATATGTGCCCTTGAGACACTGAAGCCAAAGAGTTCACAAATCTGTGTTTCCATTGATTTTAATTTAAATCTCTCAAATAACACCATTAAAGTGGGTCAGTCTATATACAAGAAGGCTAATCATAATTATTAGACGGGTTGTTGTGAAATCCAAGTACCGTACCCCTCTTTAGTATAAGACAAACAAATAGAAGATTAAAAACCTATACTCCTGTATGTTGAGTAAGAAGTAAATTTCCATTAAACCATCTAGAGAGGGTAGCTCAGCACTGCTTCTCAATTTAATGAGGTCACTTGGCTGCTAAGAGAATAAGTAAGACTTGTTGTTGTCATTTGTCAAGGAAAGCATACATGTGAAAGGCTGTAGGTGAAAGTTGTTGTAAAGACAGGACCCTTGTATATACATCCATGGACCATTCTGAAGCGGGCACACCCGTGTGAAAAATGGTAATTGTTCACTTTATAGGATGCCTCGAAAGTTGTTTGAAATATAGAGCAAGGGAACCTTAGAAGCCTTTGGATTCTTCCTCCCCTTTGTTGATTAAAAGGCTTATTATATTAATTTCCAACATGCACCCACATATATATGCCAAACACATTTTTAAACTTTAATTTCATTTTCTCAAGATAGTACTATTTTTTCCATAGTCTTTTCATATACAGTTTTAGAGTTTACAAGTTAATATTCGGACTCATTTTGCAGTTTATTATAATAACTACCATTTCTTTAAGCACCCTCCCTAATTTTAAAACAAACTATGATTGATATTAATTAACATGAGGGTGCAATTGTCAAACAAACCCATTGTCTAACAGCAGAATTTACTAGGCTTTTAAAGGAAAATCAGTGTCTCTCTCTCTCTCTCTCTCTCTCTCTCTCTCTCTCTCTCTCTTTCTCTCTTGGTATTTCAGCCCAAGCCATGGGTATTTTGAGTCCCAAGAGTCCTGCATATAGGAGTGCTGTTCGGGAAGAGAGTCCTGCCTGGCTAGAAGCTTCTCCCTTGCACCTTGTCAGATAAAAGCCAGTTTTCTTGTTTCCCTGATTAGGAGGAAGTTACCCTGATGGATCTTAACTTTTTCTTTACCAGATTTAAACAAGGGTCTTATATACTCATAGACACTGGTGCTGGGAGAGATGGAAGGGTGCTTACTTTTTCTAGAGGATGAGGATTACCTATGACCTGACTTCATAATCACTACCTTACTTCAAGCTTGTGAAAGTGTTTTCTACTTGCTACCTGCATTTTTAAAGCCTCCCCCTGGTAATCGCTGTGTCAGAGGCCTTGCATGGACTATGCTATTGCCCTGGCTCTTAAAACTCATCCTCCTTGTGTTATCCAGTCAGTTGAACCTGTGCTCCCTAAACAGTTCCTCATAAATGGCTGGAAGACACAGACCCTTCTGGAAGCTTCTATGCCTTCTATATTGATTGATGGAAAATTCCCACCATGTCTCTTCCCCTTTTTCTACTCATACTTTCCCTTGAATTATATTTATTTCAAAGATACCACTCTGCTGCTTTTAAAGACAGGCTGCCGTGTGGTTTGACAAGACATGCTTTCTTTCCTAAGAAATGAACTCAAACTTTTAAATGATGTCTGGAGACTCGGTATATCAAAATGTTTAGCTAACCTTCATTATTTCATCGTTGAGTTCTGTGTGTTCTTCCCATTTGATGCATGTGATGACACAGCTCGGTGAAGTGGTTCAGGCTTGTCATTCCTTAACTTGATTGGATGGAGCTGGTGGGGGATGAATTTGAAGCCAACCTAGGCTTCACAGCTAGTTAAAGACCACAAACAAACGAACAAAAAGAGTAGTAAACAAGGGCTTATAACTAACTTCTTAATTTGTAAGCATTTCTCCAGCCCTTAATTCAGAGAGCCAGGAGATGACACTGATTTCACCGGTGTATACTCTTTCCCTAACTGAATGCCTCTCTAGTTTTGCTCCCAATCCTTCCCAGCCCCATTAACTCTCTAGTCTGGCTTAATCGTAATGTGTATTGTAATGTTTTATCTCTCAACTCTCCCATTCAGATTGAAATAAACTTTTGCTTTTGTTGTCACTTTAACAATTATTTCATTCTTTATAAGTTTTTCTAAGACTACTATGGTTGGTATGTAAATTGAAAAAAAAAACTTTTAAATAAAAAAGACTTAAATTTTTTTTCTAAGTCTTCTTCTGTTACTTCTCCCCCTCCCACACACTAATTAATTTTTGTTTCTGGTCATAGCTGTTTACCATTTTCTGGGTCCACATGTATTTTTCTTGGAAAACTAAATCTGTCCAGATATATTGATTTATGCAATAATTACAGCACTTGGAAGGTGGAGGCAGGTAAATCTTTGTGAATTTTAGGCCCAACTATTCTACAAAGTGAGTGCCAGGCCAGCCATGCCTACTTAGTAAGACACAATCTCAAAAGAAATAAGGGGAGGGAGAAAAAAAGGAAGAAATAAAAAAAATAAACACAACAACAACAACAACAACAAAAAAACCACAACAAACTCTAATCCTGTATTTCTATTTTAATTAATCCACTGCTATCTTTATCTAGAAACTCTGCTTCTGTGATGTTATAAGGCTTGGGTCAGAGAGCACATGATGTTTGTATTTTTTATATCTGGTAATAGTATTATTCTCTTCAATTTGTGTGTAATTTGAGTCTTAACACTCTCTATTCTTTCATCCCTAAATGTGGGTCCAGTTGAGAATTAGAACCAAGGAGGTAGGAATGGGTGTGATCTAAACTATTACCATAAATACAATGAGGAAGTTTGCAGTCTGTTGCCATAGGGTCGTTAGCTGGTAGAGAAGTCGGAAATTCACCAACTCATAGAATCATGGGATGCTTCCCTTAGAAGATGAGGTCTTATAACTAATGGCAGCTATGAAGGTCTGTTTGCGGGCATGTTTGCTGTTAGCAGCCAGCCTGGTTAGAAAAGAAGCATTCAAAAATGACTAAGTTGCTGGTAGCTGATCCTATAACTTGGAAGGTAGGAGTTACTTGAATGAAATCCAAGGGAAAGGAAATTATTACCAAAATGTCAAGCACTATAAATTGACATGACTCTTATAAATCATCAGAAAACGTATTTAGTATTGAAAATATATGTATTAATTTAAAAATGAAATTTAGTTTAAATCAAGATTAGAAAAGTCAGTATAGAAGGTTATGAATAATAAAAAATTACAATGAAAACACATTTGATTAATCAATTAATTCACTTGGCTTTGGTTTTTATTTTAATATCTCAGAAATGGTTTTCATGTGTGTTATTTATGGTATGAATAATATACATCTCTGTATCCTTTTTATAGATAATTTATAGATAATTAAGATATTTTGTAATGTTCTGCTTAAAAATATGCATTCATGGAAAATTGTATGCATACAAGTATGTGTGCTAATTATACAGTAAGTTACACACAATTATTCCTTATACTACTGCGAGAGAAAAATACCTTAACAATAATTTTATTCTTGTAGAAGTCTATTAAGTCCAATTTCTTTATATCTCGTTATGAAGTTCTCTTATATATGCATCAGTCACTACTTATGTAAGGTACTCATTGTTTGTAATCTAATCATTAAGCCCAGAACCTTTTGTACTTCCTGACTCCTAGATCTATAAAGATATAACTGGAGAAGAAGCCATACCTGGAAAGTGTACTTGACCACAAAGTTTAAGATCTCCTACTGCTTATTAATTCCATGTTATGTCTTCTGAAGCTGTTATAGACTATTAGAAAATAGGAATCCTGACTTTTTGTATCCACAATAGTTATATAAAATATTTGTTCAACACATAAATGCTCTTAATTTGGTGAGTTTAGAGTACTTTGTAAAAGATACTGTAATTTCCAAAATATGAAGTTAATTTAAATAGGCTATCCAAAAAAAATGAAACCAAGAAGAGGCATATTTACTTCAATTTGATATTTGAAATCTAAAATTTTCCAGACTTAGTAGCTTGTGACATGAAACTAGAAGTTGAGATTTGTTTCTTAAAACATGAGAATAGGAAAAGCATGCAGAAATAGATCTTAATTGTTTTCCTGAAAAATTACAAAAGACAAAAATGGGCTAGTCTATTTAAAACTTTTAAATATGTTACATCAAAAAATAGTATGTATTTGGGGGTTAAAATGTGGATCTGAATTGATCCTGCTTTTTTCCATATTCAGCAACGGTAGCTGGGGAAGGACGTTTGTGATAATTATACCTATCAGCATATGCAGAAGGACTCTGAGAACTAAGAAGGACGTGTCATGCTGTCTCGTTTGAAGTTGCCTCTTGAAAGTTGCATTCACAATTGCTCGTTCTAAATGTACAGCTTTCTCCATCACAGCTTTTCACGGCATGTGTCATGGTTATTTTATTTTTCTTCATTTTTTTTTCCTTTTACTTTTATGTGTAAATAAACATAGGGACTGGAATTCCGCCTTCAGAAGCAGGGTCACTCATAATCCTGTCAACTTAAAATTACGGCATCAGAAGAAGTTGTTAACTTTTTTATGTTTCCAATCGTCACCAGATGCTTGAATACAAATTTGGATATGTAGATATACTCTAGGTATAGATAGTGTTCATGTTTCTTAAAATAGTTGACTTTAGTTGATCTATGAAACAAAGCTACTAAGTTGAAAAGAAGATATTTAAAAACACACAGGCTGGTCTTGCTGAGACCGTGCCTACACACAGTAGGTACTGCAATACCTTGACCCCTCTTGCCTTTGAACTCTTATTCTAGGTGGCATTGTGCTAGAATATAAACTGTAATTTTTTGCTGCCTCACTGAGTGCCAGGGTTTGCAGAACAAGAACTTCTTCACATGCATTTATATACTCCTTGAGGTGCATACTCCGAATAAAGGAATAGTTATAGGCTCATTTTACAGTTGAAGAAACTGTAAATATAAAATAACTGGAGAAGAGCCGCAAATGGAACATGAATGCATGTGGCCACAAGGTCCAGGATCTGATTCTGCTGATTAATTCCATATTAAATCTTCTGAAGACCATTTTACAGTATTAGAAACTAGGAATCTTCACTTTCAAAATCTTCAGTAGCATTAGAGTTTATCAGTCAGTAAATATATGTGATTTAATGTGTTGTCTCTTTTATATGTAATCTAAAGGTTTTTATAGGGACTGTAAGTTGGGTATGACAATCCAACTTTCTTCGTACCTAGAGAAAGTGATGCCACTCCACACTGTGGTTACTGAATACCTCAGTAACATATGCTATGACTTCTTTCTTATAGAAGTGTACTAACTTTCAAACATTTCCCTTAAAACAAGGAAGCAAAAATAAATAAATAACTACATGCCAGCACTCTGCTTGGCATACTTGGTATCTATAAAAGTAATCCTTATACCTCTGAAAGGGTAAATTTCCATTACTTGGAAATTCCAAGCAACAAGGGATGTCCTGAATTTCCACTTGCTTTGAAAGTTACATACGCTGAATGCAGACAGACAATTTCCTCAGCATACAAAGCAAAGAGAGTTTGTGCAACTCACTTAACATTTTATATCAACCCAATCCCAGTTTCCAGTGATTTCAGTGTGAAATAAAATATCAAAGGATTTGTCAAGCAGAGATCAGACCTCACCTCCCACCCAAAATAAACAGCCTGGAGGTTTTTTCTGGAATTGACAAAAATTTTAAATTGTGAAACAGGTTTACCAAATAAATCAGAATAAATTGACCACTTTTTTGAATTACCAATTGATTAAGTAATTAAAATTGGCTCAAAGTATTATAAATATAATAATCATTCTCCAAACGGTAGAGTAAATGGCACATCGATTTTTCTTCAGTTAATAACCTGTTTTTTTATGTCTGCAAAGAACAGTTGAATAATGCTATGTTTTTCCAAGTCTAATGAAATAAAGCTGCCTGTGGGGCTAGCAGTCATCAGTGTCTGTGAACCTCAGATGTCCCAGTCACACACTGATAGATTTGCTTCTTGTATTCAAATTGTCAAATAAATCAATAAATGTAAGTTAGGCAGCAGGAATGAAGACTTTTTTTCTAATTCATCTGCTACATTGATTTCCTTTCTATAGTTATAAAATCTTTCAAGTTAGTCCCTTAATGCATATGAGAAAGTCAATATCCAGAGACACATTCTGCTATAATATTGATATCAGACTTAGTATATGAAATGTCTAAGCCTGACCTGTTCAGTTGCTTTATTTCCTTTAACCATTCAACTAGATTTTTTAAATGATTGTGGATATATATAATCTGAATCTTGAATGATTTAACAGTAAAGAAGCTTTTGTTCAAGTAATCGCTCATGAAAATGCTATTATAAATGCTGAAATGAAAAGGAAGTATTCAATGAAATGTAAGACACACTTGTAAATACAGATTAGCAGAACTTTTAATGTCCCATTTCTTTTTATCTTTATTTTTCACTTAAATTTGTTGGTAATTGATTCTGTAGTTTTCTACAAGAAGCTTGTTGAAGACACTATCAGTAGCTCTCTTATGAATTTTTTTATCTCATAGTTTTTACACTAAGTAGGATTTATATTTTATCTTACACGTAACTTGTACCTTTGAATTAAATTTGCATACTTCATCTTGTCACTATTTCAAGGGCTGATGTCAGTTACCGTACGTGACACATTCAACTTAGACAAAACTGAAGTCCTTAAATATTCATCTTTTCAAATTTCACCACATTCATGCTTATATTTGTATAGATATATAGATACATAGACACATTTCTGAAAATGAAACACCTAATGAATATGTTCCAAAGTTTCCAAAATATTTTGTCAACCCACTTGTAAAGTTTCAGATTTCACATTTTCATATTATTTTAACTTACCTAAGTTTATATAATATTAAATTACCGAACAAATAAGGAACATTTTGACTTCTGATGGCATTATTCCAGTCCTGTTGTTCCGTATATTATTTTATTTTAAGAGTTACTAAATGTCCTGTTTTTTCCTGTCTTGTTTACTGGGCAAGCAGGGGTAGATGGTCCCCCTCCCTAGATAGGAGGCGACCTCCTAGCCCCAGGATTCAAATCCAGCATGCATCTCCGGAGAATGACAGGTACTAGTCACATCCTCACAAACAAGTGGCATTAGAGACTCAGAAGCTACAGAAGGAAGGAAAAGGGGCGGGATGTTGGCAATGTCATTACTTCATTGAAGAGCCAGAGTCAGATATGCGATTCCTCCAGTGACTGCACACAGGTCTGAGAGAGGGCCTCCCAATATTGATGGGAACAAGGAAGGCATAGAATATGGTATTTGAAATACCATCAGGGTCCAGTGAAGAGAGATCTGTTTTGATATGTCTTCATTTTAGGATTTTTAATTTTTAGAACCATTTATGGATCATTTAGGTCTACAAAGGGATATGTAAGGAATTTTGCGTGCATCCGAATATATTAAAACTATGCCACAGAACATACTCGTGGTCACATTGCCTTTAATCTCAGCTAGTTTGCTTTATTACCATGTATACTTGATGAGAAGAAATTGTAAGATTTGGGGTGTATTTCAAGCATGGTGCAAAGAAGGACATCTGGTTCTTGTACTTTTTGTATTGTATTTGAATTATTCTCAAGAGCTAGCTAGGGTCAGTCAGCTGGAAACATTTTCAAAACAAAGCCTCTCTGCATCGAATCCACTCCATGCTGATCTGTAAAAGTATCACAGTAGGTTCCTCCCATCGTCACTGTTCTCAGTTTGACATGCTCATGTTTCCTGATGTCTAAAAAATATGCATGCCTATTATTTCCATCTTTCAGAGTTTTCCTACAAATGGTCACAGAAGTGTTGGGATGTGTGAGACATTTCAGTTGAAATTCAGCAGACACATACGTAGTATTAATTAGACAGAAGCATTCAGAAATGCAGCCAAGTAGCAGAAATAGTTTTACGAATACACCTTTTTGCATTAATTATATATGTATGTCCCAGTAATTGTAGCCTTATCATAGTGGTAATGTTTATTTTCTGTATATGTGCACAATTTGTATTCTGTATATGTCTTCACAATTTGGTATAAAGAATATCTAAATTTTGCAAATTAATTTGCATCATTAAACAATGATGAGAAATAACATAAACTGGCATTATAAAAGTTCTAAAGTTATTCTAAAACATCTACCTCTTTGTTTCATTGATTTTAATTGAGCTCTACATTTTTCTCTGCTCCCTTACTTGCCTATCCCCTCACTTCCAACCCTCCCTGAAGTTCCCCATGCTCCCAATTTACTCAGGAGATCTTACTATGGTTTGGATTTACATATTTAGAACTTAAAACTAATCCCTGTGCTACTTTTAGATTTCAAGAATTGAATCTATGGATCTAGAATTAATAAAACTTTCAGTCTACATGTAAGCAAGGTCATTTAAAATAATAAAAAGTAAATTCAATAAATTCTCTACCCACACTGTGTTCTGATGGATGAAGTCAGGTCAGTGATTATGACAGCGAAAGCAATGGCCATGAAGTATTTGACAATTTCAACTTAGAACAAAAGTCTTTGAATGTATGCAAAAAAAAAAACAGTGATTTAGTCTAAAGCAATGACGGATGCTTACTCCGATTATAATGAGTATAAGTGTACTTTTATTAAGTACACTTAATAAGTGACATTTATTAAGCCAAATACATAAAGTAACAGCTCAGATCTTAGCATAAACAAAATCTCATGACTTCCAATTAACAACATATGAATCTGTGATATGACTACCCAATTTCTGTATATGTAGGTGCAAGATAGATGTTTGGGAATGAACTTTACAAAATTTGAGCTTGGCTTTTGCTTCTCTGTAATGATATATTCACAAATAGTCCCTCTATATAACTATAATAAATGGATTTAAAATAATACAATTATTATTCATTGCTATGGAAATGAAAATATTTTAGAGTAAACTTAATTCAGCTACAAAAGATAATATAAATCCATGAAAACGAGAGAGTAAATACTGTTAACTAATGACAGATTTGTACGCATTTGTGACAACCTCTTGACGAAGCTTAATAAGCACAAACCACCTCACATGAGTGTTACTTAATCATTTAGAGTATTCTACAAATGTCCAAATAAAATGAGTATAACATTCAATTTAAGTAAAATGAATTATTGGACATAGGCATTAGTTTACCTTTTACATTGGTAGCCAAAAGTACTCTTAATTCAATAGTGATGTATACAGTTGGGACTAGATGTTTTATCAGGGTGAAAGAACACTTCTTTGCTCTTTTTTCTCCCCACAGCACAAATATGGGCATAAATATGTGTGAACATACATGCAAGTAGCTTGTAAATGAACAATGTCTACATAATGTAGTGTCAACAAGAGGCATGCTTCATGACTTTTCAGGTGATACCATACACTCGGATTGAACATGGTCTAAAAATAATTCTGGATCTTGTAAAGATACTTAAAATGAAAATAATAAAAAAAAAACTAGTTTTGACCCTTAGGGAACATTTCTGGCTTTAAAATTGTAAAGATTTCCTAGAGGTTTTATTAAGTTAGTAGTTCCAAGATTTGTATTGGAATGGTTTCACATTGGTATATCTGGTACTTTGAATGTACCAGAACTTATACTGACTCTTTGAAAGAACTGAAAATATTTGACAAAAATCACTATTTTCTTGAAATTTAGTCCAGTGGTGTCAGTTGAGTTTTTCAGCTGCAGCAGCTCTCACCTGTTTTACAAATAACCATATTTTCTTTCTCTTCCTCCCCAACAATTTTTACTTCTCTGCAAAATGACCTCACCGATCGTATCAAGTGATTCATTTGGACTTAAAATGAACTTTCTCTATTGACTATGGATATTTGATGGAGTCAGCAAAAATCCTGCTGTTTTATTCACACAACACACATCAGCTGCCGTGCAAAGGCAGCTAGTATACAACTACTCACCAATGAAGTGTGCTGTTGTTTAGTCTCTACTTACTTTGCTGTGTGTATAAACAAGGGAATAAGATGTGCCAGACACTGAAACCTTAGTGTATGCAGTGGCTATATTCCCCACATGAAATCAGGGCCATACAAGAATGTGAACATATCTTAGTCTCATGCATGTATATGTTTATCACTAATCTTGCTTGAATTTATAATTTCTTCCCAAATTGATGAAAAAGTAACATGGTAAAGGTAGGCATTCCACTTTCAAATAGCATAAGTCATCAAAAGCTATATACAACATAAGCACCCTGAACACACAGAGATTCATTCTTATGCCACTATTCTATATAATGAAAACAGCCACTGGTAGATTTATGTTACATATTATCCCAAACCAAAACATGCTATATTATGTCAAATTTCTAACAAATATTATTAAATAATATAAAATGTTTGGCAATTCTTTTGTATACTATGTGTATCATTTTATTATTTTTATTACACACACATATAATAATTTGGTGATGTCTTCAGAAAATATTTTCTTATTCATAACATCATGAAATTGAATTAATTATAATTTAAAAATAAAAATGGAGTATTCCCCAAATAAATGTTAATTATTTCCTGTTTCAATTATACACTAAAAACGAGAATGCTAAAAGTATTATAAATAAGAATAATATTTCAATGGAATTTCAAAATTGCAAGTTTGATTAGAGATAGATCCGGTCTTCTAGTTAAAGCTTTTGCTTCAATTCAACCATAAAATAATCACGTACTTTATATTTGGATGTGTTTTTTCGGCTTTTAAATAACTTGATCGCTACCATGTGGTTACAGGATTTTATATTTATGAGCAATCATGAGGCCAAGTTAAGTATTAATCTTGAAATACAGGAAAAATTCAAGTTTTAACTATTTTTAATTTTGATCCATGAAAAGATGAACAACGTAATAGTGATAAAGATGACTAGGTCTTTTTGTAAAGCTGAAATCATGAAAGCGTGGTTGTTGTGCTAGCTCATTAAGCCGTGTGGTACACGGGCTAAGTCATATGACATTTTCTAGCTTTTTTTTCATTTGCATATTTGGCTAGTTGTAAATGGAGTAGCTGAATTCTCATGTTCTGTTAAACTCTAAGAGTGAGCCTGAGTCCCTGGTAACATTGTGGTAAAACATAGGCTACTAACATAAAATAACTGATGATTACTTATGCACAAAGTATTAATAAGGCAGAAATCATGCTTTATTTGTGGAATTTTCTGTTTTTATTGAAGCCCAGAAAACAGTGCATTTGAATTGTTACATGTGTATTTGATGTAAGCTGATTATATTTTCAGAATTACTTTTTTTTTTGCTCAGTGTAAATGTGGACTGTCAAATTACACTAAATATACAAATAACATTCTATAATCTTAACTACTATATAAAGGCATAAACATTGTATATATAGTTTGGGTACCATGCAATATTCTGCTTGCATCTATCCATTATTGAATGCTTAAATCAAGGTTAATAATACATCATTATCTCAGCAGAGAAGATTTTCTTGTCTCTAGATTTCAGATATATAAAGTATATTATCATTTTTTCACTCTTGTTAAAATATAGCCTACCTCTTGATTTATCAGTGTATAACTAATAATATTGATCATACTTCCCCCTTCTCCCTAAACCCTATAGTTAACCCTCAGATTCTGGCCGAATATTTATTGCTGCAATTAATTATTAAAAATTTAGTCATTGTAGCAACAGTTTTCAAACAAAACATTTAACAAATAGGAAAGACATTTTGAAAGAGTATCATTACAGTCAAAACCCATCTAGACCGAAGATAGTGACAGTAAAACCTTCAGGTGGTTGATGTACAGTATGAAGTCTTTCATGCCCCTGTGACCTGTTTTCTGACCGTCTTAGCAGTAATTTTGATTGTATACAATATGAATAACATTTCTACTGTGCCTATCTTAACCCTCTGTTTATATCAATGATGGGTGTGATTAAATATACAATGTATCCATAGCTATGAATATACATTGACTCTGAATTATATACCAATAGAGTAGGTGTATTTGGGGCCAAATAAATGTTATTACCATTTAATACTCTACGTTTAGCAGTCAACATTTTCTTGCTCTCAGAAGTGCTTAAGCAACCACAAATCCAGATTCTGTGGAATACTCCAAAACTACCAATACATAATCCAAATGCTAAGTAATAATTAATGTATTTAGAATCCGTGTGCTTGGGGGTAGTAGTATTATTAAGTGTAACTTTGCATGCAGAAGGAAATGAGACACACGGGGGTCAAGTACCTTGACCCAATTTACTTCGTTAGCCAGAACAGCTGAGTTGAAATTTTGTCTGACACTACAATTCACACTGTGGGCTCCTCTGTTACGGTTAAGTCATGGCAGAGACTGCTACACTGCGGTCATGGACTGTCTGCTTGCCTCCTGGCTTCCAGTGATGACTTTCAAAAGCAAAGGAGCTAACATCCCAAAGCCTCAGTCAAGGATAAAAGAGCTGTGCCTCTGTTGTACTATGTGTGGTGGGGCTGCCTTCTGGCCGCCCCGGCTCGCGCATGGCTAGCTTATGCCCGAAATAATTACACAGAAACTGTATTCTTTTAAACACTGCTTGGCCCATTAGTTCCAGCCTCTTATTGGCTAGCACTTACATATTGATCTAACCCATTTCTAATAATCTGTGTAGCCCACGAGGTGGCTTACCAGGGAAGATCTTGTCGGGTGGGAGAATCATGGTGACTGCCTGACTCAGCTTCTTTCTCCCAGCATTCTGTTCCGTTTACTCCACCCACCTAAGGGTTGGCCTATCAAATGGGCCTAACCAGTTTCTTTATTAATTAACCAATGAAAGCAACAGATTAGAAAGAAATCACTCCCACATCATGCCTCCCCTTTTTGATTGGTCAGAGTAAATGACGAAATAAAGGTGAAATAAATGCTGAAGTCTTCGTAAAAACCATATATCCTTAATATTGCCAATGTAGCTGGCATCACCTTGGGAACCATTCTGCTGCATGACCTCACTAAGTTTTAGGACATGAGAAGGGGAAGAAAAATTGGAGAAATTCAGAGATAAAGTATAATCTCATTTAAGGCTAAAAAAACTTAATATATTTTGTGAAGGACAAGGAAATTGGGCAACTTCTAATAGATGCTTATAGCTTTTTATTTTTCAACAACAGATCTCATTCTTCTCTCCTCTGAAGATCAGAAAAGGATTCTTTGTCCTGATCACTGCTGGGACCACACACAAACTCTCCATAAATCACGCATTACATTTATTTTGATCTCATGCCCTTCAACCTGATTTACTCACTTCTCCCTTCCTTACCCTTCACTTCAATCTGTGTTGTGGCCTCGGGCATGTCCTTTATTTCAGAAACAAGCACTAGTGCCTAGTCAACATGACCTCTGCCTCCCCTAGATTCAGGCATGTGCTGCATGTTCCTCCAGCTGAAGAACACACACCTGTGTTAGAGAAGTAAAAATGTATGAATACAGCAGTAGAGGTGGAAGAGGGTGGAGAAATGAGTAAGGAAGTGTGTCCATTTGAGAGAGAATACCTGGGGCTTTCCTGTGGGTTTCTACTGTCCAGGGAGCACTTAATTAAGACGCCTGAAATTCTAAGTAAGAACAAATACATCCCTCAACAGTTTCTGAAGGTAGGACTTTGATAATGCAATAGGCGTAAATTATAGAAGATTCAGTGATAACACAAAAGTACATATTCTTACAATTTTTGAAATGTATGTGTTTGTATGCCATGATGCTTTATATTATTTGTGTAAAATATGTAGTGCTATGAGTAACTATGTGAAATCATGTTTGACTTACTCAATTGTAATAGCCATTTAGGTATATGTGCCTAACATTTATACACATATTTCGTCATGTTTACACCTTAAATACAAAGCTATCATAAGTTTTATATACAGATATACATCATGAATGCCCACACATTTTAGTGATTTTGTTCACATAATAGTTCAGGCATTTAGGCTAAATAAGTATATGTCAGTTACATTAAGGAATATCTTTCACTCTCACTTTCTCTATGAACATTGCTTTTAAGAGAAAACGATATCTTAATTTCCAGATGTTAAGTGTTACGTGTGGTTTCTGAAAGTAAAATTGGAGGTTTTATTCTGTTATACAAGGTGTAGCTAGCATTTATATCTCTCCCTACTTTACCTAGGCATTTTCATTATTGATTGAAAAGCAATTCTCATGATTGGATTAAATGTTTTCACTACTGTCAACATCTTTCATGTTTTTCTTTTTATACTTTGGTGGTGGAAAACAAAATTTCTCTAGAGCACAGAGTTTCAAAATAAATGGTCACTTAGCCCCCGTGTGGTGTTTCAGCACCAAATCATTACCACTGTAGCACTTACCATCATAGATTCCATCACGTTTTGTTTTATTCATTGGCGGAAGTAATGTCGCTGAGTAAGGGTCTACACCAGATCATTGCTGTAGATGTACTCATTTAAACTAATGTGGTGTCAGCTTCTCCTGTCTCCTATCTGCCACTGTGTCTTCCACCCAGCATCCTTTCTGATTTTCAATATTTGATTTATTTGTTAATTTTTTTTTAAATTGTGAAAGTGTTGACTGACAGAACCAGTTAGGTAAGCTAAGTTGTCATTGTTCATGCCTTGTTTTTCTTTTTCATTGTTGGATGTGACTGTAGCTCTATTCATCATCTATTTTGTATTTCTTTAACATTTCATTCCCACAGGCACTCCAGAAAGTCTGAAAGATCTAGCATCCCAAAACAGACTAGGAAATGCACAGCCTCTGATGCAGACAGGTAGGCTTGTTGTCGTGCTGTGCCGCTGTCTTCCTTTTTACGTAGACCCGGGAGGGCCCTGCCTCTCCCTTAACATTCCAGGGTACAGACACAAACTGTGATGCTTGACGTGTCTCATGGAAACGAACCGACAGCTATGTGAGGAAAAGTGGCTGAAGAGAAAGACAATGTCACTGTGTGGGCTGCTCTTAAATAGTAGGTGTTAAGGGACAAGCAAACATGATGTTTCTTCATGATCAATCTCATTTCTATAGAGGGCTAGACACATACCCATTCTTACACATGTATTAGAACTTGGATGTTTTCCTTCTGTGATCACATCAAATGCTTTAGTGAATCATAACTGGGAAAGTGTGGACAATTTGAGTGTGTGTTAGATATTTGAATAATATTTTTAAAAAGTCTCATTTTCTACAAGGGTGTAATCTATGATTCTTGGGGTTATTTTTGTAGCTGTCCTTATTTGCTGTGTTCATGCAAAGAAAAATCTAAGGAATTATTGATGATTTTCAGTTTCTCCAGTTTTAAATGTATTGTGTAACTTTAGGTAAAACATACTGACACTTCTTTTGACACATCCACAGAAAGACCTAGAAAGTCATAGTAATGTACATAGCGAATAGTTGGCCCTTGGACAGAAAATCCTCAAAAGCAAGGATGGAAACAGGTGATTGGTATGTTCAATATCAGATGTATTTCAGGCATAGTGAAAACAGAGGTATGAATAGAGCATCTGGAATTTGAAAATATTCAACACACCAGGCTTACTCAACTAAATCAATAGGTAAAACTTCATGTAAATTTGAAACGGGAAAATATAAGAAAACATGGAAAACTAGAAAATAATTTTTTTAGCTTAAGTACCTATGCTTGAATGGAGAATGGAAATTCTCCATTTGGACAAGATTTTTGGACAAAAATTCTCTCTTTGGACAAGACAAAGAAAGGAAACTAAAATTTGAACTGTAGACTTCTTGAGATTTTAAGACTGGCATGACCATGCCATGTTAATGTACTAAAGACTCTCTGTTTATGATATGCTGTCCTTAGACCCGGGCAGTGGATGTTTGATTTTGAGTTTCAGAAATATAGATCTATTTGGAAACAGTTTGGGGGGATGGAGAAATGATTGAGAAGTTATTAGCACTGACCGTTCTTCCAGAGGCACTGGCTTCAATTCCTAGCACCCACATGGTTGCACACAACCATCTATAATGAGATCTGGTGCCCTTTTCTGATGGGCAGTCATGCATGCAGGCAGAACACTTTACATAATAAATAAATCTTAAAAAAAAGGAAAAGGGAGAAAGAAAACCGTTTGGAAGATGCATCAAAATATCTAAGAGTAGATGATGGAAGACACCATGACTCAGAACCTGTGCAGTTCAGTGATTTATTCAGCCCATAAACTCAGGCCACCTTGAGTTCTGGTGTAAGGAATAAGTAGTGATCAGCAAAAATGGAGGCATTTCCTTTTTGCGGAGTTTAAATCTGAGAAAATAGGAGGAAGGATGCCAAAGGATTAGTTAATACGGAGAAAGGGAAACACAGTTGAATCTATTAATCTAAAGAGATACTGATCGTTTAGATAGACACTTTACAATACACAAGAATATAGGGGGACTCAAAAAGTATTAAAAGAAGAAAAAGAGCAAAACAGTAATTGGACTGCGAGGCAGAAATGGTTGCATTAAACACTACAGATAGCTATTAGCAATGAATACATGCCGATCCAGCCTTCAGTCTTGGCTTAGCTGCAAACACTGGCCTCTGATATATGTGTGGTTTTCTATGTTAGTGATTAACATCCTTGAGTGATTTTTATGGGAATCTAAGTTATATGACTAACTTTTAAGGAAACTGTTGAATGCTTGGTACAAGGGATTTGACCTGTGTGTTCTAAGTCACATTGACGGTAGTGACTGCTGGAGCTCTGAGCTAACCTGTAGTTAAGGTTAAGTAATTCACACTGTGAATGTTTTGTGCATTGATTTATTTTAACAGTCTTATTTTACATATCAACCCAGTTCTCTCTCCCTTCTCTCCTCCCACTCTCTCTCCCTCCACTTCTCCCCACCTCATCACCCATACACTCCTCAGAGAAAATGAAATCTCCCACTGGAGTGAAACAAGTCTGTCATCACTTAAGGCAGGACCAAGGCCCTCCCCACGGTATCTAGGCTGATCAGGTATTCCTCCGTAGGGAATAGGCTCCAAAGAGTCAGTTCATGCACCAGTATTTATCCCTAGTGCCTTGGCTCTTTTTCTACACCTTTCCCCTCCTTTTTCCTCCTTTCTTTTCTTCCTCCTTTCTCTTTCCTCCCTCCCTTGCTTCCTTCTAACTGCTTCTAGTTGAAACCCAAGGGCATGTCATTGTTAGGCAAACAAATGCTTTTCCACTTGGCAATACCCCAAATTGAAAATTCACCCTTGACCTTTAGAGGCTAGTAACCGTACACAGAAACCTGTTGTGCAGTTATCTGAAACATGTTGCTGGGAAATTATTGTGGTTTTAAGTTTATCTGAAGCCAACTTGCCATTGGGTGGAAGAGTCTAACAAGAAAACCTTGTGAAATACACTGCGACCTGTTAGGGGTGGAAGGCAGGTACAGCTAACTCTGTCTTCTGCTTCCCACCACTCTGAGCACGGCCCTATCCTCTCATCCTCTCTTTTTATCTTTTATATAAGAGATTGTTTTTCATACATCATAGTCGGATTAAGCTTTCTCCTTCCCATTCCTCCCAGTTTCTCCCCATAGTCTCTGCCGTCCAAATGCATACCCTTTCTTTCCTTTATTAGAAAACAGCCAGGCTATTAAGGAATAATACTAAAATGAAATAAGATAAATAGAAAAGCTAACAAGTTGGAATATGACAAAATGGCAAAACAATAAAAAGAGCCAAAGAGAATGATCTAATAAAATAAAGTTTCACTTTTCACCTCCATGTGAGCTCAGCTGAGAGCAGCCTTATTGTTATTATTATTATTGGTATTATTGGTACTATATCCTGAGTTTTGCCTGTTGGGTGTTTTGCTTATCATTTAGAATTGCCTACAGATGTGCTATTTTATCGGTTGGAGCAATGGGAAGGAGCCTTACAGGCCTGAAAAGGCTATCCCAGAAGAAACCGTTTTGGAATTTACATGCTGTGTCCATTCTCACCTCTTCAGCAGGTCAATAAAATACAGAAATACCAAAATCTTAGTTTAGAGCCTCAGCTGGGAACATCTGAAAAAGTAAAACTGTCTGGCTAAAGAGTTGGGGTTTTGCAGTGAAGTGCGTTTAGTTCAACTTAACACAGTGGAGTTCAGTGAAGGAAGTCAGGCTGCGATTGAACTCAGAAGTAAATATTTAGATACACACTTGCAGAGGTGAGCTACTGCATACGTGTATGTGTATACCTATGGCAGATTATACAAAGCAGACTTATTAAATGTCATTTGCATACATTTTATTCTGTAAACTCTGAGACCATGATTCCTTTAAGCCATACTAAATCATTCAATTTTTAGATGTATATCTGTATGTTGTAATTTTTTTTTGTTTTGTCCCTCTGTATTAAAACAAGTCCTGTTACAGTAAATATTGTCATGAGTAAAATTTCCCTCTAGATGCTGAAGCCTTAGGTTCAGGTATTCAGAACAAAAGTCAAGAAGAAATCGCACACACCTGTCACCTGTCAGAAAAGAAGTCCCCTGTTGGTTTTCGGCAAACCTGTGCAGATCCTGTCTCTAGCATTTTTCTCTCATTGTCTTTGTGCAAGTTATCAATGAGCCTCAGTTGTATTTCTAAAACAATAGTGATTATGCATCAAAGGGTTACAGCACAAAAGTTCACAGATACATGCACATACGTCTCCATGTGAATGCACACACACATTCAGAGCATGGCATGTTAGTCACCATACCAACATTAAAGATCTTGTTGTTATCTCATTGTTTCTTAGATCTTGTTTCTTCTTTCTTCCATCCATTCTTGGTTTCCTTCTCTAACATGTTCATTCTAAGGCTCTCCCATTCTTTTAACCTCCTTTCTTTCTATTATATCCCATTCTGTTAAAATGACCAAGGCTCAACAGCTTTGATTCTCTTATCTCTCTATTGTTTTACCTTGAAATTCTTGACCAGGTCTCCTTTCCATCTGCCTAAACAAACCACTCTTAATTCCATTGCCTCTTCTGTGCAAAACTGTGTTCAACTCTTTACAAGTTCACCCTCCTGGAACTCAGTGACCACATCCCTCTTTTGCTCTGAGTGACTTTACCCATCCTCTGAGCTGTACTCCATGATTGACATGGAGCAAGAACTTTTTTGCTAATGGGACAATGAAGAGTTATTTTGTGTAAAGGAAAAAGAGAACCAAAGGTTTTTGTGAAAAATCTTGAACTTGGAACAAGTTGGGCTCTTTTCAGATTCTGCCAACCTCCTTCCAGCTCAAACATGGCTCTCCAAGTCACATATTTTAAAGCAGTAAAGTATTCACCCTGAATCCATTCATGTCTTCTGAAAATGGTTGTTATAGCATTTCAATATTACTGGCTGAAACATAAAGTCCACCCTAATTATTCTTATCTAAAGTCACACTCAGGTTGTTCTTCTGGAGTTAGACATTTCACTAAGGGATAAAGTAAGATTATCATAAAATTGTAGTGCCCAAAAGGCACTCCATTGCTTATGTGAAAATTGTACAATTAAAATTTCAAAGCTCAACCAATACGTATATTTTGAACAATCTGATTCTCATAGTAATGACTTATAAAGGGTAAATAAAACATTCGTTAGCATTGGAAATACGTCTTAGAAATTCTTCCCATCTCAGTTTGGTCTAGTTAAGCTCATGAGCAGGTCAGTTAGAATAGGTGAACTATTTTAATGTGTAGAATGTCAGAAGATTTTTTTTTCGGTTCTAAGTGGCAATGACAGGTGAGGTTTCAGAACAGGACTCAATATCTAATAAAACCATAATCTGCAGCCCAAGAGGATAAAATGTACTTTTATTCCAAGTGTAAGATACACTTTCTTGTTCTCTGAAAACTGATATTTTCCTTTTCACTGTTCTGAAATGAAAGACATAGCTTAAAGCAAAAATCAGGCTTGTTGTAAAGAATATTTTACTCAACAGGAGTATTGAGCTAATGGGGTAAAGTCTTCATAAGTACACGTTGGGTGACCAATATGTGTTATTCTCACACTTGTGGACAATAAACTCATTTCCTATGATTGCTATGAAAGAATGAGATTGTGTCAAACTCTTGTCAATATGATGCATAACAGGAATATTAATGATCGCTTAATTAAAATAATACTAACATGATAAAAGGATCAAAAACATTCATCTGTTTTATGGAGATATGCACATACATGTATATGTATCTATTTAATTCTCGTTTCATAATTGTCTTGAATACCATATGAAGATAACTACCAGTATATTCACAAAGACATTTTCAGATACTCTCACATCTAAGAGAACCTGTTTAACACACACATCTACCATTTGTGCTTAATTAGGTGTATAAATTAAGTACTGTTCAAGCTTTATTTTTATTTCTTAATGTTGGATTAAGATGAAGAAGCATGCTCTTTTGGTTTTTTGTTTACCATAGACTTACTTCTTGCACTGTAGAACTATGAACATTGTGAAAGCATACATACATTTTGATTTCACATTCCTATAGAATATCATGGCGATACTGCAGTATTCATCATTCTAATTTCAAACACTCATTCAATCAAGAAATCTTTATTTTTGTCCCTGTTTTCTATTATCCATTTTTGGCACACTGGACATAGAGTTCAATAACCCCATCCCTCCCAAAAGAAAAAGACTGAGTTCTTTGATTCTGGAGGGTTCACGAGAATTTGATGATATTAGGGCACTTAGGTTGGCCCTTTATAACACAGATGCTTGGATAATAGTGACATTTCCATCGCAATAACTGTGGGATGAGTGTTTCTCTTGTACTTTAGACTCACTTTCAGAGTATCCAGGTTTTCCTTGGACGACTGTGTTGGAATGAAGTTAATGAAACCCGCTGACTGAAGATCTCTTTTGGCACTAATGTTTTAGGGTTCTCCCATCATGCCTTTCTAGAAGGGGATACGCAATCCCAAGAGCAGCTGATCAAGCAGTCGTTAGGGGAAAGCATCCCACTCGCTCGCGGTCCAGCGAGCGCTCTAGTGTCAGAACCCTGTGTTCTATGCACCACCTTGCCCCTGGAGGCTCGGCGCCACCTTCTCCGCTCCTGACAAGGTTGCTATTCAGTGTCCCGCCCAGCATTCGTGTCCTGCTGCCGGGTGTTGGTGTGGTGTTGTTCCTTCCTGAGCACTCGAAGCTTATACTCATTATGACATCATTATGACACCATGGTTCCTACTCTTTTCCTTGTGACCCGGTCCTCACCCACATCCTCTCGCACTGGCATCTCTCTCCACTGTGCTGGCAGAGTTCTCCAGTTCCTGCCAGTTCGCTGCCATCGACAACTAAACCTGGCTGTGTTCTGTCCTTTCATCTGTCCGTGGCATATCATATATACTTTACCATGTGAAATGCTTCATGAGGAGTTTACTCACAATTAAATATGGATTTGTTTATTAGAGCATCAGAGAATTTTATAAAGTAACCTTCTATATGTGCTTATAGAGCCATGTAGTGTTTAAAACATCCTCAGTTACAAAGCGAATGCCAGCAGGTGGAGGTCAGCTTTATCTGGGTGGGAATGAGTATCTGCATGCCTCTCATATTCTCATTCCCAACATTAATCCTCACATCAGGACATCCTGTAGCACGTGTCCAAGGTCATTTGAAATCCTTTCCAAGGTTCGTTGCTCGTTTCTATTGAAAAAGAATGCACAACCTCTTGGTAACTAACATCTGGCTGTGCATCGAGAACTTACTATTATACATGACTCTAAAGCATGTGTGAGTTTAGCTTCAGCTCTCTGGCAACATGCCAGACATATAATTCCTTACATACATGTTTATATAGTTTAAGATCCAGAGGCTGTGGTCAGTTCTGTCACAGTACTAACACAATGGATGTCTTTAAGAAGCACGCCTCAGAGCAAGTCAATCACATTCTGCTTAATTCAAGAATCCACTCTGTAGAATGTGTACGTGCCTCCTTCAGCCTCTTGTAGTAGCCCTTTTACGTGTGTCATTTACAGTATTGAATTTGGCTTCCAATAACCCTGTTAGGTGTTTTCTGCCTGTGTTAGTACTGACTGGAAAAAGGCAAAAATGCTTTGCCGAACTGTATTGGAATTTCACGCACCCTTTGCTGTTTACCTACAGAACGCACCGACAAGGAAGCCCGACGCGGTCTCCGCCAGCAGACACATCCTTCAGCAGTCGCCGGGGAAGACAGCTTCCACAGGTGCCAGTTCGAAGCGGCAGTATAGAACAAGGTATCCAAAAAAAGAGATCTTTGTCCAAACACCTGGAGTTGATAAACTTCTCCTCTTGCCACTCTCATTTATGAAATGACACGGTTTGGGTCATACAAAACATAAAGTTTCTTAGGATTTTACCCCAGCACTTGGTTTCAGTGGTCCATGCCACAGGGCAATCAGCGTTTGCTGAGTGAGTGAGTGAGTGAGTGAGTGACCGAATTTAGATGAATGCTTAAGAGTGGGTGGAGTTCTGAACAGTTTTGCAAAGTCATAAAACTAGGTGATATACATTCTGAAAACCTCAGTACTGTCTGTTGTTTTATGTGCTGAAAAAGGGCTTACGTTATTTTTTTAAAAAAATTAAATATGCTTATTGAGTGTTCTCCATTTTAATGTCATTAACTATATCTTGAGTTTTAAATAATTTGGTGGTAAAAATTACTCAGAACATGTATTTATCATTTTGCTATGAGCCACATTGTCTGTGTTTCTTACATTAAATATACATGGGTTATTTTCCTAAACAAATGGCCATGTATGTGTTTGGGGGAAGGGGAGATTTGTTTTGACAGTAGAAACCAAGATTAAAGGATATGTCTTAAATGTTTGAAATGTTGGACTAAAATACTATTTCTCCTGACCCGTTTCTTAGTGGGTCAATGACATTAGTATTTTCTAATGCATATATTAGCAGTGACTAAACGCATTACTGATTTTTTTCTAGTTCAGGGCTGTGGTTCAAGAACAATGAACATAGTAAAACATCCGTTGCCACTCTGTATCCCCATGAAATAGCCTGATGGTTTGCTTCCTGAGTACTTCTCCAACGCTGTTAGTTGCTGCTGGTTTAAAACTTGCATTTCCCCACAGATCGCATGGCTGCAGAGATTGAAGTGGCCTGTTTGACCATGCAAAATACTTGATAATAGGAACGTTGGCGTGAATAAGTGGTGTTGACTTACTAACTCAATACTGCAAAGGGTACCATGAAAGCTATACGAACAGCCAGATTTGTGTCTTTAAAATGATGTTTCTTGTGGGTACAGCTTGCTTTAATGGTCAAGGATGAGGTAAATGTATACATTTAGTCAATTAGCAAAATGCAGTTTTGGTGAAAATTCTTTCTAAAATACCAGATTTCGATGGTGGAATCCACATTTCTAATAGGCGCTTATTTTTTTTTCCTGAAATATTTTGAGATGATTGAGGGAAAAATAATGTTATTTGAATGATACTTATACTAACAATGCTTCTGTCAAAAGTTTGATTTTTTTTTAACAAATAGATGATGGCATTTTAACTTACTCATTCATGAACTCTTGTTGCACAACTGAACAAACTGTAAATTTGGATGCTTCACTAGAAATCCAGTGTTGCTGATCACAATGAAACTCAGCAAGTCATGTGTTTCTTGAAATTCTTTGCATTTCCTCCAGTTGCAAGTAAAACATTCTATGTGGCACTATAGTAATCTTTCTGCAAGGTCAATTGGACTACCTGTTTATTTTTAAAATTTATGTTCCATTGTTGATATCTACTCTTTATGATATTCATATTCACAGCTGTCTTTCAGAGAAAACAACCATGTGTAAGGATTGGATTGAGGTGGGAAGAACGGGATGAGTGGGAATGGCATTACTGTGATATTAATTATGGCAAATACTTTAGTAAACACAGTTTGTCGTTGAAGATTCTGATATAGACAAGCCTGTAAATGAGGCAGTCATCAAGTACTATCTAATCTAAGCATTCTGAGGTGCACTTCATGGCATTGGGACATGCTTTGGGGCTTATGGTAAATGGTAGCAGTGTCTCCTGCCATCTTCTTAGGGGTGTTTTCATACTGAACAGTTCACGCGACGCATTTGTCCCTAATGGGTTTCTGAAGTGATTGATCATGGGCTAGACAATACTTAAAGCATTTTATTTATGATGAATTTCACTGTTCTAGAGGTGATATAAGTATGTCATTAATTTCCTTTTTGATGAATTTGTTAGACAGCAGTCTAACAAATTTCATATGGGAATTAACATCAGCTGAAATTTATTTGTGACTGCTTAAGCTCACTTGACTTTTGTTTTCTTCTTGTTTAATCTCTTAGAAAGGGCTGACTTAATGTTTTTAAAAGTAATTCAGTTAATAAACAACTGATTGGTAAGAACAAAGTCCTTTCAGTGAATGAGTTTCCTAGACAGATATACAATTTCTTGATATAATCATAAATTAATTTATTAATACATTTTCTGTGTATAATTACCTATTTTACTGTTTTAGGGTGACTACAAAGATAATTAGATTCGATGGATATTTTAAAATTTTTTATCAGTGGTATTTATTGTATCTTATGTATATAAACAGATCTTCCATTTGTAAAGACTGTCATTTTAAAAGATATATTTATTGAGTATTTGAAAATTATTTTAAAATTTCCCTTAAGAAATATAACTATGAACACAATATGTGAAATCTGGGTATATAAAAGTAGGCATCCAGAAAAATAGATTATTACAGTACATACTTTGACATAAATGTAGATTAAAATATAGTATATACTTTATTCTTAATATGTAAAAGTTGAAAGTAGAGAGTTCCTTGAAATTTTTGATTACATGGCAGTATTGAATGTAATATAGTATATTTTACATAGGGTAAGGATGAGGCAGCTGTGAGTGTTGTTTTAAACGTGTGATTTTTCTGAACAGGTCAGATAGCTTTGCTTCATTGAGGCCTCTTAATGAAGCATGTAAACATCATTCATGAAGTCAAAGGCAAGCATATGGGTCTGTGGAGACATCACATGTACTGCTTAACACATGGAACCATCCTGACGCCTCCCTTCTGATGGGGCAGCCAATTATTTTTCAGTAAATAATATAAGAGCAAAGAGGGAAGTCTAGTTTTATGAAATATCTAATATATGCAATCTGTAAAAATTGTTAGTAATTTTGTCTTGAGGTATTTACTATAAATTTGAGGAAAAAAGAAAAGATACTTATATTGGGATATATATATATATATATATATATTTCACACGGAAATGCTACAGAAGTGTTTCCATTGTTTCCATGCCATAGGTTATATACTTTCTACTCAATAGAGGAAAAGGGATTGATCACATGGAATTTCAAATCATAGGAAATGGCAATTATACAGTTAAAGTTTCTATGTAGATTAAGTATGCTTTCAATAGTGTGAAACAGTGGTGGGTTTAAATTGTAATGTTTTGGTAAAATTGTTGCCAAACTATAGAGTTCTTAAAAGTCAAGAAAATATATTGTTGCATATGCATTTGGAATATCAAGCAAGTTATTTTCCCGATATTTTTGTTTTGTTTAAATCTTTGAATTGCTGTTTTCATTTTTTAATTAATTTCAATGCCATATGTAAAACTTCCTCATGGTTTCTCATGCAGTTTACCATATCACCTTATGTGTTATGCGTTTTAGTATTCATGCCATTTTCTTAATTCACATTTCCATGTCTAACTATAAATTTGCTGATTTCTTTCTTTTGTTTCCATCATTATGTGCATTTAATTCATTGAAGAACAAGAAAAATATAACTCTTCTACTAAAGGTAAATATTAATGTAATTTTGAATCATTCATACTGTATCTTTTATGATATGTAAGAGCTATGCAACCATTAGTATAATGATCAAAATTATTTGATAGTTATTTCTCTGGAGGGATTGTGTCACTTGTCGGTTCTTTCATAGTCACAATGTGTAGATCAAGGAGGAAAACTTCCTAAAACTAAAAATAGTTTGATGTAAAATTCATTTATCTATGTTGATAACTAAAACATTTCTATAAATTAGCAATGTATATCTTACATGCTAATTTTTATTTTATCATAGGAATTGGTGACATGTTCTTTATTTCTTGCTGAGTTTCCTTGCGTTGATTCTATTTTTTTGCTCTCGCAGATAAAGGATTTGATTCTGATTTCCCACTATCCTCTCTGGCTAACATCTACTGTGCAGAGTGGAAAGTCCCTACACTTTGTTGTCTTGATAGCATGAGCTTCATGAACTTTCTAAACTTCACTGTACTCATGCGTGTTTAGAGCAGTGACCCATAGTAGTGCTGTGGGTTTTAAGATTGTTTTATTAATCATCCTGTCTACCTGAGAAACACAGGAAGCAGAATTCATTCAGCCCATTCTCATGGGTAGTCTCTGACCTTTACTATGACTTTTTAATCAAAAATTATTTTTGATCTTTTCACGTAAATTTTAACTGAGTTTCTGGCTTCCACCTTTTATACTCCCACATCAATTATTTTTCAGAATTATACCTGGCCTGGTTATTACATTTTTGAATATAAGTTTATAAATTATAATAATAAAATCTTAATAATACTTTAACCATGTTATGTTCATAGGTGTATTTATCAGATATTAAAAGCAGCTTGAATTGATCTGTTTATTTTATTATCTCTCAGAGCTAGTCCTGTTAACAGCTCTATCCCTAGTCAAGATCTCTGTCTTTGGCATTGGAAAGAAGTCTCAATGGTTAAGACTACTTCTTGGTCTTAAAAAGGGCCTGAGTTCACTTCCCAGCACTCACATCAAGCAGCTCAAAATCTCTTATAAGTCTAGTTTCAGGGGCACAGTTCTCTCACCGGAACTCATGTGTAAATGCACACACACATAGACACACATAAATCTTAATATTCCTAGCATATGTTGTGACCCTCAGTATGGGAGATTATATACAATTCTCTTTAGTCTGAAATTACACAGAATGGAATTATGTGTCAGACACATAAAGGGCACGTCTCAGCAAATACTGTTTGACATACTAGGATCAAATAGTAACTAAAAGAAAAGGCTCGTCAATGAAATGAATAAGCTATTGCCTTAGGTTTTATTAAGCTCATGACTACCTTGTATTCTTAACTTAGGTATCAGACACAACCTTTTATTCAATAGTACAAAAATAACCAGTGTGTTTTTTCTTAGATTCAGAAGAATATTGTTTGATTTGGAAGGTTAACAGTGTGGTAGACTCC